GGAAGAGAGAGAGAGAGAGAGAGAGAGAGAGAGAGAGAGAGAGATTGAGATTGCCAGCATTGCCTTGGCAGCGTTGCCGGGTTGTTGAACTGTGTGAAAAAGCAAAGCAAGTGTTTGTCTTTGGGCTGCTGCTTCCCTTTTCCTCAGTTGGCTGCCTTTTCCTTTACTGGGGCTGCAGTGGAGAGCACTGCACCCCAGCCCGGCTGCCTTCTGACAGGAGTGCTCTCTCAGGAACCCACTTTCTAAGAACCGAGGGTGCTGGGAAACGTTGGGCTGGGCTGAAAGCAGTGTGTCCCCCCTGCGTGCCTCCCCTCAGCCTCCTCTTCTGCCAGGTGCTGCTGGTGTCGCCCTGCTGTGTTCCTTCCCTGTGACAGAAGCTGAGACCCGGTAGCCTACACAGGGGAGAGCTTACTTGCGTCGCAGTTCTGAGAGCAGTGTGCTGGCCTCTGCCCAGCTTCCACTGAGGGCTTCCCACGCTCCAGGCATGGATGGGAGGAAAGTGTGGCCTGGCCGTGCCCAGAGGGAAAGGCACAAATCCATCCCCAGGGCGCGGCTCCCACGGCCTGCATTCATTCTGAGGCCCTCAACCTCCTGGTGCTCTCAGTGCACTCAGTACTCAGTGCTGTCTCGGTGCCCTCAGTGCTCTCGTACTCAGTTCTGTGTCAGTGCTGTGTCTCAGTACTCGCTTTTCAGGGCTCTTTCAGTGCTTTCTCAGTGCATACCCGCTGTGTGCCCTACAGAAATAATTCCTTAAGGTCAGGCGCTACTAGGGTGTGTGAGACTGATCCTTGCTCCGGTGGACAGGAGATGCTGACGTGGCTTCTTTTCCTACCTGGAGTCGCTGATTAACCAAGGAAATTCAGTGACTAGCAGAAGTTAACCCAGGAAAATTTTCCCAGTGTAAATCTCAGTCTGATTTCGCTGTTTTTCTGTCTTCCTTTTTTCTACCACCCGACCTTACGTTATCATCTTTCAAACTGGCTGGGTCACACAGCAGATAGAATCATGGAGCCGGAACAGTTCTTCGTATGTTGTAGACGTGAGCACTTGTGTGTGATGTGTACTTTTACTATGTACACACACGTGTGTGTCCATGTGTGTTACTTCCTCCACATCTGTGCTTTTTGCCTTTTTCCCTTCCCTGCTCTCTTTCTCTCCCTCTCTCATCTCCTTTTCCCTCCTTCCTTTCCATAGTACAGGGGTTTAAACAGAAGGCCTCTTCACTGAAGTACATCCTAGTCCTTTTTTGAAATTATTTTAAGTTTTAAGACAGGATCTCACTAAGCCATCAAGTTGCCCACCTAGGCTCAAACTTGTGATCTTCCTGCCTCAGCCTCCCAGAGTTCTGGGATCATAGGTGTGCACTAGCACACCTGCTTGCCTATTTATTTTCTTAAAGTTGTTCTTTGATAACTAGAAGTTTAAACCTTAATAAAGTAAAATCCACCAATCATTTTTTGTCATGGCCAGCTAGTATTGCTTTATGTCTTGGGATATCTTTGCTACACCAGGTTGTAAAGTCTAGAAATGGCAATGTGTATTCTAACTGTAGTGTAGAGACATTGTACTTTTGTGTAACGTTAAACTCTGTAACAGTATAGGTACATTTACACCCTCATCTTTTGATATTGATAATTTAGAAATGTGTCATAAACCCTGCAAATGATGATACTGTTTTTAAAATAATGAATTGTTTAAAAATAACCTTAACACAATTTGAGAACGGAAAACCAGCTCCATCATCCACACGAGTTTCAGTGCTTGTGACCATGCCTTCCGGAGCAGTTGAAGCAAGGAGAAGGCGTGCCTTTATGTGCTCATCTCCTCAGCATTGTTGGTACTGTCATGATTTCCATATATGTGCAGTGTGCACGCACATGTGTGTAAGTACAAGTGTGGGTGTTGTTTTAAAGAATCATTTTACCCAGGAGGTTAGCAGCTGTGGTCATCTCGTTGGTGATCAAAGTTTTGATAAAAAATGCCGCTTTAAGGAAAAAAATATGAGAAAATGTAAAAATGCAATTAAAGTGTTTGAAGGGGGGAGGGGGTGAAGGAAGGTGGGGACAAGGCGAAGAAATGAGAACCAAGACCTGGCATGTAAAGGTACAAGATCCCAGTAATGAATGGAACTGTACTGTCTACCTAGAATGTACCAATAAATTCAATTCAAATTAAAAAAAAAAAAAGCCGCTTCATAGCCAGCGGCGCACACAGCCTTGTAGGAAGATGAGCCTCACCTCAGGGACGGGTTTGCTTTTGAGCCACAGCTGTGCGTGGCCCGCGGAACTGCTCCGAATCTGCAAGCTGGCTGGGCGCTGCCACTCAGCCCTACCCGCTGTTGTTCCCACAGCTCTTCCTGGGTCCCTCGTGGAAACTACATCGAGTCCAATCGTGACGACTGCACGGTGTCGCTGATCTATGCTGTGCACCTGAAGAAGTCTGGTTTCGTCCTCTTCGAGTACCAGTACGTCGACAACAACATCTTCTTTGAGTTCTTTGTAAGGCTTCTTATATTCCTTTGTTCTTCTTCTTCTTCTTTTTTTTTTTTTTTTTGGTACCGGGGATGGAACTCAGCTCCTTCCGCTTGCAAGGCAGGCCACCGAACCGCTGAGCTAAATCCCCGGCCCTCCTTTGTTCTTTTTAAGGGACATTCATGTAAATTTCCCGTAATGCGTCATTCCACTCCGCTTTACACCCCAGTTACTTTGGTGCTCACTGAACCCTGTGATAATGAAAGCAGGGAACTTCCTGAAGCGTTTGCCCTCTAGTTGCCCACACTCTCTGGCCTCGTGCTCCACCTGGTGCGGAGCCTGTTAGCTGATCATTTGCTTTAGACCACGTGTGCCTAAAACTTTCCCCAAGATTCATTTTAACTTCATTTTTTATGGCCATAAATGCTATTTTGTTAAAAATACTTTTGTCAATTTTAGCTTTTATTTAAAATGGTGTTTTTTTCTTGGCAATTTCAAAGAGAAAACATTTATTTACCGACTAGAATTATTTAAGTGTATTCATGGGCAATTATTTTAAGAGACGTGGCTGCATGTTTCTGTTTTCTGTCAATTTCATAAAGTCTAAAGGGATCAGTGGAAAGGTAGTCCGTGTTTCTGGCATGGTTAAATAGCACAACACAGGATACAATGACAGACCTACAGAACAACCACTAACTATCTAATTGGTCTATGTAACTGTACTAAGTTGAGCAGATATTTGTCGTGGCAGTGACTCCAAGGCTTGACAATGTTTTCAGATTGATTTCTTACACTAAACACAGTGTGTTGTGCTGAAAGATGGGAAAATATCTTGAAAAATGTTTCTGTGGCCCAGGTTTAGGAACAAATGTACTTTTCTAAAGTAGATTTACACTACCCTCGGTATTGAGAATGTCTAAATCAAAAGTTTTGTGGCGAGAGGTATTTTCTATAAAATGTGAGCCTTGGGCTTGCAGTTCAGAGATTCTGGGTTTGGTCTCCGCTTGTACGGGGCTGTGTGCTGTTGAGCAGTGAGGCTGCTTCCAGTTCCGGCCCCCTCCTGTTACGTGGCCTGGAGAAGATGTCTAAGGAGCCTTTAACACGAATGTCCTCTGAGGGGCTTGGGAAACTGAGCAAACGCAGTCACGTTTTAAGCTACATTTTATTTGCGTAACACTTCTAGGAATGAACGATTTGGTAGTTCTTGGGACATGTCAACAGTATTATTAAAACTTAAGTAGCGAGCCAGGTACCTGATTGTTAGCATCAGTGTTTAGTTTCGCCCAGTGAGTCCCATGAGAGCGATGTTTTGTTACTTCCTTTCCGGGTGCCCTGTTCTGCTGGATGTAGTCTCAGAAGGGCCTTTTCCTGTTGAAATTTCATCTTTATAGGCTGTAGTTACTGGCTCGGGCCCGCATCTCACAATTGCTGTCCTGGTGTTAACAGAAGGGAGACGCCTGACGTTTTAGAGACGTGGCTGTGCTCTGTGAGAGTTAAACGTGAGCATTAACTGAAAGCAATCTTTAGTTTCAGAACCATGCAGACGTCTATGCATTCGTACTGCTTCTTAAAATAAAATGGTGAAACTGAAACTTAGAATTAGTGCTTGGACCAAGATCATACCTGCTTTTTTTTTTTGGAATGGGGAACAGACCAGGTGTCCAGCATGCTGGGGTGGGTGTCACAGAGACTCAGGCCCATAGCTGTCCCCGCACCAGCAGAGGTGTACGCTGGCCTGTATCGTCCCTCAGACGGCTCAGCGCTGACCCTGAATCGGTGAATGTGCTTGGACTGTAAGTAGGACGCAAACTGAGTTACAGTAAATTTCCTCAGAAGGGGATACTCTCTGCTGTCTGCATGGCCAAAGGACCTATTTCTCATTAGGACGTGTTTAGGAAATGTCTCTTATAGAGAGCGTTTTGATGTTTGCAAATTGGCCAGTGATGAGGAGAGCAGTGGAGGGATTTAGAGAGGAGGCTGTTTCCCCGGGCAGAGGCCTGGTAAGGTGAGGTTTACTGTGCCGCTGACTATATGGCACAACTGGAAAGTTGACCTCACTTTTCAAAGTCTTTCTGTTCTTTGTAGAAAACTAGAAAGCTTAGAAATCGTAGAAAAGTAGCATTTTAACCCCTTGGCATTTTGGTGCAGTTGTTGGGAAATTAGAAAGTGTTTGATGCTCAGGTATCTGTAGTCATATGAAACAGCACGCCAAATGATTAACATGTCTCCACATAAAAAATCAGGACTTTAATTTTGGCCATAGCCACTTACCTACATTTGGGTTAAGTTGTCAGGAATTGGTGCAAATCCCTCTTTATTAACTAAAAATTTTGCTGCCACAAAAATAAAAACCACCCTGGTCTATTTTTATACTGTTGGCTTTGCACGGTGTAACACGTGGGTAAGTTGGGTAGATTTCTGGGGTGACTTCCAGTGGTAGCTTCCTCTGTACTCACTGGGCTGCTTCTGGGCACAGCAGCAGCATGGTGTGCATGGAGGTCTCACGTGTGCAGAGGTCCCTGGGGCTGAAGGTTAGGTGTGCGACCTGCTGGGAATTACTCCCGGCTGCCATTTAGGGTGCAGTGTGTTGAAACCTCTGTTCGGAAGCTTCACAGGAGCCTGTGTTTTACCTGCAGATTCAGAATGATCAGTGCCGGGAGATGGATTCTACCATGGACAAGTGGGTGAAGCTCACGGACAACGGAGAGTGGGGCTCTCACTCCGTGAGTCTCTGCTTTTCCTTCTCCTCCCACTGTCTTGCTCTTGTACTTTCTCTTCCTCACATTTTCTAAGCATACCTTTTAAAAGGGAAAAGTTTTCCATTCATGGAGAGAATCCCCTTTGAAGGAGGAAGTTGCCCCTGAGGTTCATGAAGTCAGATTCTTATTTAGTTTCCTTTTTCATGCGTTTTCTTTCCCCTCGGAGTCTTCTCTTTCTCTCCCACCCCTCTCCAGCCCTCCTCCATCAGGGCACTGTAGGGCACCAGCAAGGCAGAGGCTGTTCAGAGCAGACATGCGGGTTCGCACCGAGTGAGTGTGTTCACAGAGGCCCTGTCACGGTGATGGGAAGGAAGACTTTTGACTCCTTCCCACCCGCCTTTCTCTGCAGTGTCCAGTGCGTGATTTTCAAGATTGTTTTGTTGAGTTCTGTGTGGTCCCACCGCTGGACGTCTCGATTCTCACAGAATTCACCCTTTAGACCCCGACCTCTATGTGTTTGCCACCCACCAGTGAAAACCCTGCCTCCCTGGTCACATCAAGCACAGCAGCTGTCTGCCCCTTTGCAGGGCAGCTCTTTAAACTCTCAGGCAGGACTGACAGGTAACAGGTCCTGGGAGACTGTTGTTATCTGGGGCCCTGTTCTTTTGGAGCAAGACACGGATTTAATACCCAGCTCTGCGACACAGCTGTGATTCTATAGTGATTCGCTTAATCTTTCTGCATCTGGCATTTGCCACCTCGGAACTGGGATCTTCTTGCTGCGTTAAGTGGGATGTGTTTGGCCAGGGCCGGGTATGGCGCCCTCAGTGTGGCCTGAGTTCCAGCCGGGTGACTGCACCATCCTCTCCTCTGCTGGACAGGACCTGGAGGGAGAATGCAGCGCGCACTTTCGGAGGTCTTGCCTTCATCTGTGTGTTCGATGTGGATATCAGCACCACCTGGGGTCCGCTCACCTTGAGTCCAGGTGTCTGCCAGCACGAGCTACTGCCCACAAACCATCTTCCCCTGGGAGGGCTGCTCCGCCAGGGAAGTGCCGAGGGCACCGTTTCTCCGGGTCTCTGGCAGGGGCAGTTGATGGGCAGGTTTTAACAGCTGAGCCTGGGAGAAGGTGGCAAAGGAGAAGGCAAGGAGTCCTGGAGCCGCTCCCCTCATGGCAGCAGCGTACATTAGTTGGATTATGAGTAGCAGAGTGCTGCACCAGCAGAGGAGGCAGTGCTGGACCCGGCATGTGAGCCTCAGGTCCAGTGACTGTGGGCACAGTGCTGTGCTGTCCTGTTGCTGTAGACTTTTAGGAGAAGCCGTATTAGTGCCAAAGCACCTGCGTCTGGCACTTCACACTGGGAGGTTCTGTGTGGTCTGCGGTCTGGAAGCTCAGGGCCTGGGGAGGCCTGGTGGAGGAGGGCCTCACCTGGGGGAGCGCGAGAGTGACTGCTATGACACGCAGGGTGCAGACGCAAGGGGCCAGGCCCACAAGAGTCGCAGCTCCACAGACCCAAGCAGTCTTCCTCTGCAGAACCCCGCCAGCCTAGAGAAGGGCGCAGAGTGAACTGCAGGGGGCACCCTTGGGCCCACGCAGGCCCCAGCAGGGACACAGGCAGCACGCCACCCTTAACACCAGGCCCTCTCCGTGCAGAGCCAGACTCCTGCAAGGGCCTCCAGTCCTCTCTGTTTGCTCAGGCTCGAAGCTTCCCCTCCTCCTTTCTTACTCCATTGTGTGGGTTGCCAGACTATTTGTGAAGTGTCACATTCAGCAGAGCTTAGGTTAGAATTAACAGGAGACTTAAGCGTCTTGATTCGAAAGCAATGCTTTTTCATTATAATGCGCAGAAAACTGTATGAGAATAGCTTTTGGTTCAGCTGGAACAGCAGGGCTTCCTTAGCACGTTCTTGTGCGTCTTTCCCCAGGTGATGCTGAAGTCGGGCACAAACATCCTCTACTGGAGGACCACAGGCATCCTCATGGGCGCCAAGGCCATCAAGCCCGTGCTGGTGAAGAACATCACCATTGAAGGTCAGCAGCAGCCGTCAGTCGTCAGCCCCGTCCCGCTCTGTGGGGGGATGTGCATTAGCGAGCGGCCCGCCTGGCCCAGGGCTTATGGGATAAGAGTCAGTGTGGGAGGCGCCTACAGGTCGAGAGAGACCTGGCTTTATTTCTAGCAGGTTCATTGTTTACTTCCTTTTCCTTGTACCCCTGAACCGAGTCACCAAATCTGTGTAAAGAGGGAAGCACAGTGACGACTTTGGATGTCTAAGCACAGGTTTCTGTGCTAGTAGGGGCCTGTTTTACATTCATGAAGTATCTGGTGCCAGGCATCAGCTTCCTCAGTGAGCTGGCACCTGGTCACCCTGCACCATTGACAGCAGCTGGAAGGTCTGGGCTGCTTCCTGCACCTCTCTGCCCTCCGACTGCAGGGGTCATTTCCAGCCCAGGCAAGCGGCCCATCAACTGGCCATGTTCATCCTCGGTTAGAGCTACTTTTAATTAAAGTAGTGATTCTGTATTAAAGTTTGCTTTTATTTCAGTATGTTCTGAGTGCCCCTTCCTGCAGGGTTAACACATTAGTTAAGCGGCATCTGCTGGCCACAGCTGGAATTACAAGCCAGAGCCCTGGTCATTTGTGGGCTCTCAGGGCTTACTGTGGTTAGGAGCTCAAAGGAGAAGGTGGGGACTCCTGACAGAATGGCGTGCTGACGGGGCTGTGGGGACCTGAGTCACCCCGTGATTTAGTTCGTGGAGTTGTCCTTGGTGACTCGGGGTGGTATGTTCCACCTCTGGCTCATCTTGTGTCAAGCATTTGCTGGACCTGCTGTGTTTAATTTGGCGCATAGCGCGGCTGCTCGCACGTGGCAAGTGCTCTCCTACTGCTGGATTAGTGGAGTGGAAGCTTTCTCCCGTGAACGTCTCTCACCTCTGCTGACCCTGGTTCTCCCTCGCATGCCCTCTTCTCGTGTGCACACAGGGGTGGCTTACACCTCCGCGTGCTTCCCCTGTAAGCCTGGCACATTCAGCAACAAGCCAGGCTCCTTCAGCTGCCAGCCATGTCCCAGAAACACCTACTCGGAGAAGGGGGCCACGGAGTGCGTGAGGTGTGATGGTGACTCCCAGTTTTCAGGTAGGTGGCACGCTGGGCAGTGTTCCCAGGAAAGCCTGACCGCAGGGGTGGGGCGGGCCCTGAGGCACGGGGAATATGACCTTGGGTTCTCCCTTCCCACACAGCGCCCATCGCCTGCGCTTTCCGCTTTCAGACAGTTTATTGGCATGGAGATGTACTTGGAAAGTTGTGCACTTTTCCACATTTCCAGTGTTTGCTGATCATGGAGGATGTCTCATGTTTAAAAACGGATCTTCTCACGGAAACACTGCTCCAGGGAACATAGGAATGTGGGCCTTTGTTTTCTCTGGGACTCACTAGTTCTGCCTAAATTGCTCTGGCCAGGTTATTTTTACTTTGCAGTTTGCCTTTTTCTTTCAGTTTCTGCCCATTGTTCGAGCCGCAGAGGCAGTGGCCCGTTTCTGAGGGGCTGTTTTGTGTTGCAGAGGAAGGATCCAGCGTGTGTACGGAGCGCCCTCCCTGCACCACGAAGGACTACTTCCAGATCCACACGCCCTGTGACGAGGAAGGCAAGGTATCCGTGGCCCTATACATCCTGCCGGCCTGTGCACTGTGTTCATGGGGGGCGCTGTGCAGGACACGGGAGACCTGAGGGGCAGGAGCTGAGGCCGCGCCTGCCTTCGGCTTCCAGACCTGCTACTTGTCTGGGCTGTTGGCAAATTGATGTCTGTCTGCCTCAGCCTTTTCATCTGCACAGCACAGCGAGGCCGCTGTGAGGAGACACAGATGCGCGGTGTGCGCTACCCAGCATGGCTGGGCAGAGACAGGTGCTCCATGAGTTGCTGCCCTGTGTATGTTATTTTTTCGGAAGTCATAATCTCTGGAGGAGCACAGCTTTAGATTTTGTACTGCAACTCAGAGGATGGAAATATCTTTACACTTTGTTTCATTCTTTGGTCTCTCAGATTTTAGCCATAACAATTGTGCAGCCTAGGCTAGTTCAGTTATCACAGAGTACTGTGTAATTGCACCAGAAAATGTGAAGCAGTGACCATGCAAATGCCATCTAGCCAGTGGAAAGACGTGTGTGTGTGAACCTGGGCTGACTCCCATCCTCCTGACTAAAGCGTCCGCCTGCACTGGACATGTCACGGCAGAGCACTGGCAGTCAGAGTGGCCTTTCACTGCATTCCTCCTACATGCATGCATCACTGAAACAATGACATTGCAAACTTAGTTTGGAAATTCCAAACAGATATTAGTAAATGAGGACTTTTGAGGGTAAGCACTGTAAGGGTGCTTCTATTTAGAAAACATATGTGGGGAGGTATCATTAAACTGGGTTAAAAGTAATTTGGTATTTTTTAGCTGAATGTATTTCAGCTAAGCTCATCTTTGTAATAGGTAAGGGAAATCTAAATTTAATTTATTCTGTGTGATAATCATTAATTCAGCATTTCTGAGGCTTGAGTGAGATCTGGTATATGAAAGCATTTTATCTGAGCTGACATGAAAATAGATAAAAGCTATATTACGTTGTGTCAGTTTACCTGTGTAGGTGCATACAGATCTGTGTACAGTTCGGTACTTGGGGTTTAAACAGGAGCACATCACGGCTGGCGATATTGGGCGAGCACTTTTCCTTCCCTCCTCCCTCCTCCCTTCTTCCTTTTCTTTCTCTTTCTGTTTTTTCGCTTCGGTGTCCTGAGTGCTGGGATTACGGGTCTGTGCCATCATGCCCCAGCCTGGGCGAGTGCTTTCCGGAAATGTGTGTGATTTAACATTAGAAGAATGTTTGGTACCAGTTCTCCTGATCTCCCTTGAATATGATGGCGAATTGTAGGCTGCATGACAGGATCAGGCGGCACACAGCCAAGGGAAGAGCCACGTGTGCAGTGTTTCATTAAGTAACTGGGTATCGGGTAGGAATGTGGTCCTCAGATTTGCCATAGGAATGCGAACATAACAAGGGTACACATCCTAGCACATACCAAGAAGAACAGGAATTGAGTACTTTCGAAATCCGTGACCTTACGAAGACATTGGGAAGGTGTCATATGTGGGTTCCTCAAGCTGGGAAGGAGGATGCAGTGAAGATTCGCAGTGGCTCCCATGTGCTGATTCCAGGAGCACAAGTTAGTAGAACCAAAATCTATTTGTGTGAAAGGTTCAGAGAAGCATTTGGGGAAGAAGATATTCACTTGCAAAAAAGATTCCAAAGGGACCCAAGATTTAGAGGACTTGTGCAACCCAACAGAAGAAAGTAGCAGCTGTTCAAAGGGACAAGGCTGCCCGGAAAGCAGAGGGCTTTGGTTTGAACCTGAGCTGCTCTGGGGGTAACAGCTGGTCCTACAGGTGCCTGGCCTCGAATGACCTTAGAAGTCAAGGGAAGTGGTTGTGTTTGCTGGTTAGTTGGTGGCTCACAGAGAAACTTGAGATTTTTATTGACATGGACACTAGACCCAGGCAGAGGAGTTGTTGTGGGGCGTGCATGTTGTGTATGAGGTGTATGAGTGCACACGTGTGTGCGTTTATTCCGGGTGGGAAGTGGTGGGTGTCCCTTGCCTTGTGAGCCACATGTATCCTTTTAATGGTGGCAGAGCATGGTGACAGCTTTGCTTCCACATTTGAGATAATTAAGAAATCCTGTGCGAAGTAAGTTTAAGATTAGTTTTCAGAAGTCAGGCAGGAGCTCTGACTTGGAGGAGGGCGGAGGGACAACCCCGGGAAGTCACAGTGAGCAGCCTGTTCCATCAGAAGGCTTGCTCCTTCCGTCTGTGTTCCTTTGGTTTCATTTCCTCCCTGGGCACCCTTCCCCAGGCACCATCACCCAAGACACCATCATCCTGTCCTCAGGCTTTGGTTGCAGGAGCGCTGACCAGAGTTTCAGGTTGGCCCTTGGGAGAGATGGGGCTGGGCCGAGTGTAGGGCTGGTGCAGACATGGAGGCCAGTGGATCCTCTGAGAACAGACAGGTGCTGCTCAGATGAACTGAGCCAGTCCGTGAAGCCTTGGTGTCCTGGTTCGCTGACATTTGCAGGAAGAAACTAGGCTGCCATGGACAAGTCCAGCCTCAGAAATTGTCTGCCTTTAGTCCTCCTAGTCTCAAATTTTAGTTGGTGTGAAGATCGGCTTCTACTTGTTTTTCCCAGTAATGGGGGCCAAACCCAGCGCTGGCTCGTGCCAGGCAAGCACTCTGCCCCTGAACTACATCCAGTCCTTGTGTGTTTCTAAAATGTGTTGTTTGCGTGCTTAACATAAATACCCTTTTGTAAATAGCATAAATAGCTCTTTTGTAGTCTTAATGGAAATGTAGTAAATTTGACTGCAAGAGTTTTGGTTTCATAAAAACATTTCATAATTGTGTCTCAGCTTGGCCCAGAGGGAGCTGATTGTTGGCGTTTCACCTGCACTGCAAGCCATCTGGTGTGAACTTTCATAAATATTGAGTATTGTGTTTCCCGGGCAGCCACAGGAAAGCATTTGTCCCCACGAGGAAGACACAGAACTGGTCTGCCACTTGAGGCAAGCGGCTTTGTGTAAACACAGCTTTCCCTGCAGAGTGTCTGAAATTTGACTTCCACATGGTTCAGTGTTTGAAGGTGTTTGTTGCCTATTTCCTAGTCCCAGCTTGTTGTTTGTATTGGAAATCGTGTGGGTAGATGGCTTTGCAAAATGGATTTGCATATTTTACTGTTTTTATCCTTTCCAAACGGTCTCCCTCGCTGGTACTGCTTCACAGCTTAGCAGTTGTGCCTAACTTTTGGGCAAGTGCAGCTTGGCCCTGCTCTGGGTGCCTATAAGGTGAGGATTAGCACACACCTCCCAAGGCGTTGGAGAACCACCCGCGTCCCACCTGGGGACCAGCTGCTCCCAAGAATGTAGGAGGTCACACGTTGCATCAATACCAGAATAACTTGGGAAGTTTGGGCATTGACATTTGTTTAGATTCTCTGGCTTCTCTATTGCCTTTCTAGCTTGCAATTTGGGGGTTTGCCGGGTGGACAGAGTATCTGGTAAGTCCCTCGATGCTCACAGTAACAGAGCTGGAGAAGTGGGGCATGGCCTAAGCCGTAGCAGCAGTGTGGAAAAGAGGGTAACAGAAAGCATGTTATTCACAGTTCGGTTGAGACTTCTGTCTGTCAGGCATTTCTTAAGCACCCTTCCTCATGTGAGGTAACCGATCTTCATAGTCTGCAAGATAAAATTGAGTGGGCTGGTGGTGCGCGATTCTCCACTAACTGGAAACTGCAGTTAGGAATCGCCTTTGATCTGGTTCTCTGGCTTCACAGGGGACTTCCTGTGGCAGGAGTTGCCTTAAAGGGCGAATATTTCCATAGGTCACTACGTGTCTCTCTGTTTTATTTTTTTTTTGTGCCGGGGATCAAACTTGGGACCTTGTGCTCATGAAGCAGGCAGTGGAACCACTGAGCTAAGTCCCCGGCCCCCTATTTAGTCTCTTTTTAAAAAGTTGTGTTTTGTTGTGAAAGTTTGCCTTTTGGTTTGCCCTAGAATACTTTTTCCTTACAGATCATAGCAGTCTTGTTTTAGAGCCCTTTCCGTATTTCCCACTCCACGTGAGAATTAGTTTGGTGATGGCGCTTTTGAGCCTTGGCTGTGTCTTTGCCGTTCGTGTGGGCGCGTGTTGTGGGCAGCGTGAAGCGTGGGCTGTGAAGGGCACTGCTGCAGAGCCTGGAGCGGTGACCCGGGTGGGTTCTGGGACTCAGGGCCGCAGCACGTCTGCCACCAGGTTTGGAGACAGACCCAGGAAGCGAGCGTCACCAGTGCTGCCGACGCGGAGGGTGGCGATGTGGAGCTGGATCTCTTCCCCGGGTGTCAGGCACGGGATGGGGGCTGGGTGGAGGGGTGGAGTCTCTGCATCGAGGCTGAGGGCCGGGAGGTCGGGCGGCGACTGTGCCATCTGTCTCGAGAGCACTGTCCTGGGGAAGAGCCTGGCATCCCCATAACTGTCAGCTACAGTCACTTAAAAAGTATTAACTCACCATTACCATTCATATCCTCAATCAAAATCCGTTAATATTTCAAAACACAAAACCCCTTGAGAGACAAAATGAATGAAAATTTATTTACCTCTTTCATTGTGCCTACAATAATAGAATTACCTATTATTATTATTATTATTATATTTCCCAACATGTTATTTCCATCATCAAAACGCCTTATTAATAACCGGTTAGTATCATTTCAACAATGATTAATCACATTAATCCTAAAACAAATAATAATAATACATAACGAAAAAGGACGCTCTTGATCGCTCATACTCGTATCTCTAATCCTATTTACTGCATCAACCAACTTTCTAGGTCTATTACCGCACACCATTTCTGTGCCGATTTCCTCCTTGCTCTTTCAGGTTCTCTGTACTAACCCTTCTTCTGCGCTGTACACACTGCTCCTACGCTGTCAGCTTTACATCCTTGCCACGAGCATGTTACGTGACTCTCCTGCTTGATTTTTTTCCCAGACACAGGTCATGTACAAGTGGATAGAGCCCAAAATCTGCAGGGAGGACCTCACTAATGCCATTCGACTGCCCCCTTCTGGAGAGAAGAAGGACTGTCCTCCCTGCAACCCAGGATTCTACAATAACGGATCGTCTTCCTGTCACCCCTGTCCCTCTGGGACGTATTCAGATGGCACAAAGGGTGGGTAAAGCATCACCTGGCCCATGAGCTAGACCATAGTGGGACAGTCGCTTGGACTGCTGGGACTTTGTTCTGAACTGTTCTTAGGGAAGAATTCCTTAAAAGATAACTTTTTCATCGAGACTGAAGAAGGGTTGAGAAGAGAGGATTCTGAGACCCCGCGGCCTCTTTAAGTGTGAGGACAACTGTTTTGGTGTCATTTTGTGTAACACTTTTGCCTTTGGATATTGATAAGGAAATTAAAAATTTACCTGTATGTGTTTAAGGCTAAGCTGGCTTTGTCCAGCATGTTGAGTGTATGCACATCTATTGCAAAATAAGCAAAAACTGCCAGGTCCACACACACATGCATGCTCTGTCCAGAAACTCCTTCAGTATTGCTTTTGAGGAAGTGAGTGATTTCCAGGGGAGTTGGCGTCGGGGTGGAGGAGGCGGTGTCTGATGGCATCACTGGAGACTGCGGCCCTTGTCTTGTGCAGAGTGCAGACCCTGTCCTGCAGGAACGGAGCCAGCCCTGGGGTTTGAGTATAAATGGTGGAATCTCCTTCCTGGCAACATGAAGACCTCCTGCTTCAATGTGGGGAACTCCAAGTGTGATGGCATGAATGGTGAGTGCCGAGCCATCTCTCCAGGGGCTTCGGCCCCGAGACCTTGCTCATTCTCAGACTCAGCTCTTTGAAACGCCCCAAGCATTGCTGGGAAGCTTTGCTCTTACAGGGCTGTGCATGGCTTTCAGGCTCTCGCAGAAGCAGAGCAAAGCAGACCTTCATGAAGAATGGAACTGCAGAGGCTCCTGTCTGTGGTTTTGCCTTCTGCAGTTTCTGTTCCCCAGAGTCAACAGCAAACACTAGGAATGAAAAGTTCATACACTATGTTCCATTGTCCCAGTGAGCCTCTTCCTACAGTTCTTTTTATAGAAATACTGAAATATATACAGAAAAGCCACCAAAATATATTCATTATACTGTAATTTATATGCGTTAAGAACAAAAACCTTCCAAATGGTTAAAACGGTGAGTGGGGTAGGGGTGTTGCATGCCGGAGCGGCTCGGTCATCGTGGAGATGGCTGTGCCTCGCTGGGCGCGGAATGTGCGTGTAGTCACCACAGGCTGACGCAGTGCCCGCACGTGAGAGTGTGTCCGTGGTATTTACGTGCAGAACCGTGGCACACGGGCCGGCTGCAATCAGACCCTGATCCTGTGAAGCGGGACGCACGAAGGGTGCAGCGGAGGAGTGGCGTTGACGATGAGGAGAGAGAAGAACTGAGGGCTTTATCTTTTATGTTTCCCTGTAGCTTTAAAATGCTTTCTGTGATACAGATATGATCGAAAAGTGAAAGTCTAAAAACATAAAGTGGTATACAAAGGTGGGAGAGGTGGGATTTACTTGCAGGGAAAAGAAAAATAGAAACTGGTACAAACCCTTGGAAAATCGTGAATAGACAAAGCACCCATGATGCTATTCCTGTGGTGCACATCACATCCGTGATAGTACAGTAATAGTTGTTAGCATGTAAGTTCAAAAAAACACCTTTATGCTTTGAAATCAGCATTTCTGCGGCCATGCTCCCTGTGGTTGCCTTGGAGATGTGAAGCTGTGATCACTGGGTGTCTGTGTCCTAATCCGCCTGCTTCCCCGTCTCTGCTGCCCCCTCCCGGAGCCATGTGACATGGCTGTGCTGAGTGAGAGGCACACCGGTCATCCCGAGACTCGTGTGCAAGGTGTAAAACATGTCCTAATTCTTGTCAGAATGATGTCACTCTGGGTGTATTGGGTTCGGTAAAATACAGAAAACTCATTTTACCCTCCCCTTACCTTTTCCACGGTGGCTGTTGGGACTTTAAGCTTGCATCTGTGGCTGCCCATCTCTTGGGCAGTGATGATCAAGACACGTGTAGCCCTTGGTTTCCCTCCTGGCCATTGTCTGCCTGCTTCTCTTGCCCAGGGCCCCGTCCTGTGTACCATCACTTACCGCGACCCTCGCACATCGGCAGTGTGGAGTTCTCACGCCTAGAGTCCCTTCTGCTCCTGTCTTTCCTGCTGGAGGGGAAGGAGTGCACCTCTCCTTGGTTGACCACAGGGTGCTGAAGCCTGCTTGGTGTGAAGCAGCAGAATTCATTCTTTCAGTCTGCTGGGGTCTTGCGCTCAGAGCCCTGGGGGAGGTGTTTCCTGGCCCCTTCCAGGGCTCCTGGCCCCAGTGCTTTTTGGCTGATGGCAGGGAACTCCAGCCTCTGCCTCTGTCTGTGCCTGGTTCTCCTCCCTCAGCATCTGTGCGTCTCTGGTCTCCAGCGTCCTCCCTCATCTTTCCTTCTTCTTCCAGGACACAGCCACCCCAGGCCTCATCTTGACTTGATGGTGCCTGCCCAGCCTCTATCTCCAAATCATGCGTTCACAGGGTGTGGCGTTAGGACTTCAGGGCCCCTCGTGGGGGCGATGTTGCCCTGTGTGGGGCCGGCAGGGATTCTAGGATTTTAGGGAAGAAGCAGCAAAGCCAGGGAGAGCGGTCCTCAGGGCTGCTGTGCGGAGGGGCTGCACTCTGACCCCACACAGACACAGTGGGATGGGGACAACCACCCAGACATCTGCAAGGGAGGGGAGAGCTTGCCAGGTCCTGGCAGTCAGGGTGTTTTGCTTCTTGGGCAAGACAGAGGAGAGAGGGGGCCCTGCATCTAGAAGTCAGCTTCCTGTGCATTTTATGACTGCACTGAAAACTGGAATTAGTTTGGAGTGCATCTAACCTTGAACAGAAGCGCTAGTTCTGCATATTATTTTTACTTGATTTAAGAGGATTTTTTCAATGGCAGTTTTACTAATAAAAGTGGTTTTATCATTTCCAGGTTGGGAGGTGGCTGGAGACCATATCCAGAGTGGAGCTGGAGGTTCTGATAATGATTACCTGATCCTAAACCTGCACATCCCAGGGTTTAGGTAAGGTAATTCTCTTCCCTGTGAGAATCTTTTTACCTCCTTCCCCACAGAAATGTAAGAAGTAGGGCTGGCTTTGCAGAACATATTACTGGTACAGTGCACTTAGTAACCAGCAGTTACAGAGTGAGGTGTTTAACAATAGCTGTAGAACCAGTGACTGGGGGACTCACCGCTAGCTGTTCCTTAGATTAAGTGGAGACTTTATAACAGCCATCACTCCTGCTTGTGTAGTGAGGAAGTCTTAGTCTGTGTGGATGTAGGGTTTATTTTTCTCAGTTCTGTCTATAAAGCAGTGTTGCACATTTGTTCCTCTTGGTTGCCCCAGTGTGCCATGTTTGAGTTCCCCAGGAGGAGTTTCTTCTTGCTTTGGGGTCCACAGTAGCCTTTGCCTTGGGAGGGCCATGTAGACTGCACGTTGGGTCAGGTGTAGGCAGGCAGGGTTCCTTGGGGAAGGAGAAGGCTCAGGCTTGGACTGGAGAGGCGGTAGGGGAAGAGTCAAGCATGGCTTCCAGGGTAACAGAAGGTGATTTTGCTGTGTTCCCCGTTGTATTAGAGAGAACCATAAACCCTGCAGTTTAATCTGTCATGCAGACCTCCAACGTCCCTGACGGGGGCCGCAGGCTCGGAACTGGGGAGGATAACGTTTGTCTTCGAGATGCTGTGTTCTGCCGATTGCGTTCTCTACTTCATGGTGGTGAGTGGAGAGCAGCTTCCCCAGGCAGATTTGAGAGTCTGCCTTTCTCTTTCAAGTGTGGATTTATTTTTGCATGTTGATAAGAACCCCATCCCTCTTGCTATCCTGAGGGCTTTCCAAAAGCATTTTACAGAATGTCTATAGAAGTCACAAAGAATGGGGCAGTGAAGTTGGGAAAGGAAGCATTCATTCATTGTGCAGAGAGGTGAGTGCAGGTGCTCGTGATGGACCGAGGCCAGGGAGTATCAGTGTGTAGAATTCCTTCATGAAAATGTGGCACCAGCAGAATGAAGTGAAATTCTGCTCTCATATCCATTCTTCAGTTTAAACTACTGGGGAAGAATGAATAATGAGCAAGGGCAGAAAATAATGGCAGTGTAAGACTGGAAGCTCTTGTGAAGTTTCATCCATTTAGACAAAGGACTTTACTATGCATGTTATAATTTTGCCCATTTTTTTCCTAGACTCATTGTAGACCCGAATTCCTTGCTTAAGAATAATAATTCTCAGCTCACCGAGACCTCTTGTGGGTTTTAGAAGGTTGCTGACTAAGATTTTAACATTCCAACTACTACTTGCTTTTGTTTTCAAGTGACCCATTAGTAGCTCATTAGCAGCCCGTTTATAATTTCTCTGTGTTAGGTAGGATGTGTGAAAATGTAAACATTTTACTTGTGATTGACACCAGTGTAAATGAAGGCAGAATATTTTCTTCTGAAAGCAGTATTGACTTTGCAGCAGTAAGAAAGACCCTGGTTTACAGCACTGCTGTGTCCGTGCGTGGTGTCACGCGTAGCTCTCAGCTCTCCCAGTCGCCCCTGTTTCTTTGGTCTCTTGAGTTCAGCTTAGTGCCCCTGCTAGAGTCCAGACCCCTGTCACCGCTCCTCTCAGCGGCTCCATCATCAGCTCTCCTCTCTGACCTCATCCACGCTGCTGTCAGAATCATCTCTGTGGACGTAAGAACCAGCCACCTCTCTCGGGGTGAGTGCCTGTAGCAGCGACTCTCATGTGGCTTCTGTCGAACAGCGCCAGCGTGCCCAGAACCAACTGTGTGTTTTAGTCTTCTCGTTGGGGTTTTGGAGAGTTAAATTAAATAACACAATCTGCTTTGGACATCAGGCGTGCTTGACAGATGTGATGTGGTATTATTTACCAGAGATGTAACAGATTTCATGATAACAAGGAATAATGATGCAACATGTCTATTATGAGCTCCTTTTTTAGAAACAACAAGTCTGACAGCTTGGTTATCTGATAATGAGGGGATTTCTGTAATGTACGAGAGGTGCTTTCTGCTGTTTTTATCTGGTGTGGACTCAAGATTTATCTCCTCCAGCATGTTTGAGCGGAGAATGTACGTGATTCCTGTGTTCATCCTGTAGGAGAAGAGTAGACAGGCCCCGGGCTGTGCCCCCACTGCCAGCGCCACACACAGCTGGCAGAAGCTGCTCCAGCTTCTCAGTCACCTGTCGGGGTGCCGCAGAGGAGACTAATTTAAACTTCACCGTAACCTTGGTTTCATTTGAAATAAATTAGATGTGTCTTACATTATTGGTTGGCTTATTAGATTTGCTTTCTGGGTAATGTTAATGATAGCATACTGGTTGGAATTTGCAGCTTCGTACAATTATTCACTTAAAATTTAGCTAAGAAAATCAGAAATAAAAACAAACATACAAATTAAACCTTTTGGAATCCAAATATAAGCAGGAGAGTATTTTATGAACGTAATATACCATTTCTGTCCAGCCTGCCCTTGGATAAGCCTGTGCATGCCAAGTATAATTCAGGGGAGCTTAGGGTTTCTGTGTTAAGAGTTTCTTGCCAGACTCCGAAGGAAAAAGATAAAAATGGAAAGCTTTTCCACTTGATGAGACTGCTGGAAGCATTCTGTGAGGATTTTGGGGACTTGTGTCCTCTCTCTGAGTGTATATTCCAAGCTAGAACCACACAGCACACAAGCAAATGAAACCCAGCCCTCAGATGTGCTCTGATTGGTGGCTCTTCCATGTTTTCCTGACCTTGTGGCTGCCCAGTGGCAGTGTCGAGGAGATGAGGCATGTATGTGGCGGGTAGGGTTAAGTCATGCACCCCAAGCCTGTACTCCTACACAAACACACACTTGGAGTGTGAGCACATACATGTTGACACTGAGCTTGTGCTTCATTTGGACATATTTTCTCACTGTTTTAGGATATTAATAGAAAAAGTACCAATGTGGTGGAATCATGGGGTGGAACCAAAGAAAAACAGGCGTACACCCACCTCATCTTCAAGAACGCCACGTTCACGTTCACCTGGGCCTTCCAGAGGACCAACCAAGGCCAGGATGTAAGTGCCAAGCACGGTGATGGCACCCTTGGGAGAGGCACGCAGCGCAGTGAGGCTGCAGGAAGAGGCTGCTGTGTGATGTGCAGTCACCCGCTCATGTGGGGTATTCTGCAGTTTTTGATGTATGTGAAATGGAATGACACAACATACCGTCTTTGAATTATTCTTAACTATGAGCAAAAATAGTTCCTTGAAGCTTAAGAGAACATTTAATTTTGTAGTTTAAAAGTTCGTTTTCAAGCTTTGTGAGACTTTGGGAAATTTAGTAGTTCTCTTCCTCTTTGTCTGAATGATCTGACTTTAGGAGCCATTGTGTGGTACCATTTTACTTCCTCACTATGGTAGTGTCTCCTTTTAGAGACCATGTGTGTGGACACAGTGGCCCTCCTCTAAGTTGCTGCCAGATGTCGCAGTGGTAGCAGGACTGTGGTCTCCATCGAGGTGACCTCCCAGGACGACAGCAGGGCAGACCCCATGTGCAGAAGTGGCCTTAATGCTGTGGGACCAATGCAGTGCATTTTTGCTCCTCTTGAGGCCTGTGGTGGGAACCTGTCCCCTGGAGTTTATCTGATTCTGGCTCTTCAGGAGGATTTGCCTGCTCACAAGGTGGGCATGAGCACAGGATGGCCCTGCTGCTCCTTGCCTGCCTTTATTTTTGCCCAGATAGAAAGCTGGGATAAACCGTGCTTAGACAGTGCTTCCCACAGCTTGATGAAAAACCAGGTCTTAACTGGCTCTGTCCCAAGAAGCAAAAACATAGCAAGACCAGGATCTTGCTTTCCATTCCACACCTTTCAAAAGAGGTCAGACATGCTGACCAGGGAGAGGACTAGAGAGGAGGAGGCTCTAGCAGTGGTGTGATTGTGCCAGTGCCACACAGGCAGTGAGGAGCCCAGCCCTTCGCCCTCCAAGATTTCCTAATCCCAGGCTGCTCCATCTGCCATTCTGTCCACACCTTAAGGCACCGTTAGAGCCGTACTCGAACCCGAGCAACGGTGATGGGGGTCAAGTCATTCCTCTGTCAAACAGCAGCGTTTTCCGGTGTAAATGTGCTCACGTGTATGCCATGTATGACACAGCTCATGGAAACTCTGGCGCAATTCCTGAATTCCAGTACTGTGGGTAAAATGGACTCTGTCAAGATCTAAGTTGTTCTTAGAAGAATCAAGTAGGATTGATATTGACATTGCCCATCACCAGTTATACCCTGCCCTGGGGACCCCCTGCTTGGTCATTTGGTGGCAGCAGCGCGGACCCTTTCTGCTCTCTCTAGAACAGACGGTTCATCAAAGACGTGGTGAAGATCTATTCCATCACAGCCACTAATGCGGTTGACGGTGTGGCATCTTCCTGCCGTGCCTGTGCCCTGGGCTCTGAGCATTTGGGCTCTTCATGTGTCCCCTGCCCTCCAGGCCACTACATTGAGAAGGAAACCAACCAGTGCCAAGAGTGTCCACCCGACACCCACCTTTCCACCCACCAGGTCTATGGTCAGGAGGCCTGCATTGCCTGTGGGCCTGGGAGCAAGAGCACCCAGGTGAGTGGCTGCGTGGCCTCACCTCACAGAAGTGAGCTTTGGTAGGGAGACTCAAGGGTCCGTAGAAGCTGTGACGCTGCTGTGTATTCTGAAAAACCAAAGGCCTTTTAGTTCCTGTCATTGTTTTCCCTCCTCTAACATTTACTGAGCACTGAATTTGTGCTATGAAAGTGCTAATTACCACAGACAGACATATGTGTACTAAGAAATGCACTCAAATGCGAACATTTTCCAATGACAGTAAAACTGACTTCTTGTGTATTGTTATGGTACATCAAGCACATTACTACTGTAGGTTGGGTGTAGGGGTTATTTGGGAAACCACGGGTGTATCTTTCAGTGTTTTAAAGATAAAGATCAGTGTTACATTAGAGTGAAGGAGAATGTAGTTTTGTCTTCCTTCAAATACCTTTCTGTAAGAAACTAACTTGAGAATAACTCACAAAAGATCTGAATCCTCCGAGCTTTTCCTAGAGAAACCTAGAGTTTAGACCTTATACTAACATGGTAACATAGAACTAAAACAAAACTGCTGAAGTATCTATTTTGTATCTAGAACTTTTGGATACCCATTTCAGCAGCAGTTAATGCCTTATTTCCTGCAATATTGTTTCTGTATATTTCTTCATCTTCAAACAAAGGACCACTCAGTTTGCTACAGTGACTGCTTTTTCTACCATGAAAAAGAAAACCAGAGCTTGCACTATGACTTCAGCAACCTGAGCAGCATGGGCTCATTAATGAACGGCCCCAGCTTCACCTCCAAAGGAACCAAATACTTCCACTTCTTCAACATCAGTCTGTGTGGGCATGAGGTGAGTTCTGCTGGCCAGGTGGGGAGCTCACTCCAGCTTGGACTGAGTCCACACTGCCTGTGGCTGGGGACAGGAACCTGCTGTGGGGACTGCCAACCCGTCAGGTACAAGTCCTGAGCACCTCCAGTCAGGTGTACTTTTCTCTTATTGCTGAGACAAAGCACCCAGAGTTAAAGGGGAAAAGGGTTTATGTAGCTCAGTTGGTGGAGGGTTCAGTCCGCAATCAGTTGGCTCTAAGCAGAGAGGCACATGGCAGAGGGGCAACAGTTCATGGTGGCAGAAAACAGCAAAAGCAACAAGGGACCTTAACAGCATCTTTCAGCCCTCTTTATTTTGTCCAGACTACCAGGATTAGGGTGGTGGCAAGCCAATTAGTGGACTGGCTTAGTAATCACATGCGCTAGTAATCCCAGCATCACTTTAGATTCAGCCACCAAGCACCACAGGAGGCCTTGGGGGACATCCAGACCCAACCATAGAAGGCTGGCAGCTCTCTGTGCTAGGGCAACCCCTCCTGCCCTGAGGAGCCTCGGTGTGGGTCTGCATGCCAGTGCGCCAAGGGGCTGCAGTGTCTTTGCCTGTGAAAGCAATGCAGGCTTGTCCATCCCATTGAGTTTTTCAGGCAAGCAGCTATGGTTTGCAGAAGTCTTACTGTTGCTTTCCAAATTAGCCAGGGTTCTCCAGAGAGAGGGAAATGGAAAGGAGAGAGGGCTTATTAAGGGACTCGGTGAGCATGATTTTGGAGGATGAGATGTCCATGACAGGCTGTCCCTGTGCTGGAGACCTTGGGGTGCTGATGTGTGCTTCCGTCTGGGTCCAAATCCCTAAGGACTGGAGAGATGGGGATGCCCTCTGCAGTAAGGCTGAAGTCCTGAGGGCCTGGGCAGCTGCTAGTGTTGGAGTGAGTCCTGAGCTTCTGAGGAGGCTGAGGGCCCAAAGCTTCTGTGTCCAGGCAGGTGCAGGAGAGCATCCCTCTCCGGGTCAGGAGAAGCCTTCCCTCTGCCTTCTGGCCCTGGGCCATCAGAGACTGCCTGGTGCCTGCTCACAATTTGGACACACCCATCTCCCGTAGAGATGTTATGGACACCCAGGGTCACCGCCTGCCCACGTCCAGGCAGCGCCCCAGCTGTGCGGGCTGACACCGGAGTCAACCACTGAACTCACGTTGTCAGCTTTGGTTTAGGAGGAGTTGGTACAGGGTGGAAAGGAGGGATGCAGGGCCCAGTCAGTGATGGGGATTCGGTGACGGGCCTCCACTGCTGTGGGAAGAAGCAGACCTTACCTGGTACTCTCAGCGGGGATTTGAGGAGCGTGGGTCCAGTATGTTTATGGATATCCGAGGTTGGGATTGGGAGGAGTTTATCTGTGTATACCATTAAGAGGGGCAGAAGGCCGGAAGCGTTTCCTCCATGTCTCTTCATGTTCTGTACATGTCTTCCCCAAGGCTCCCACGCCAGACTTGCTGCTTCAAAGGCAACGGAAAGAGGTTTGATACTGCGGATGCTTTCAAACAGAAGTGTGGTGTGGGTTTGCATTCTCCTGGCCTTACATGGGTCATCTCACTCACTAGATCACTTGACCACACAGTCACTTGATAAATAAATACATAGTAAGTGACCTTGGTTCAGGAACCCTTCTGTTTGCAAACAGAAGCATTCAGCCAGATTTTGTTTCCAATTGCAAACTGTTTCAGGTGAGAAATAAAGCTCATGTCTCCCCACAAGCACAAATGCACCCGTCCTCGCTCCTCTGCAGGTCACGAGCTGAGGCACTGCTGCACCTGGGCCGGCAGTGACTGAGATGGGTCCTGTCCTCTCTTATTTCTCTTCTTTCTTTTTCTCATTCATTGCATTTTAGTCTCTGTTATTTCCCTTTTCTTTCCTCACTATTTCGCTCTGCTTTTTCCGTTATTTCTTCTTGGCTTGAGCAGTGTAATTTAAGCTTAGGAAAACTGCGCTGCACTAGTATCACGGGGGAAGGTCTGGTGGAGGGAAATGGATGGGTTGGGTCCAGATTGCGTCCTTATGTCCTCTGTGCACACTACGTCTAAGATGAAGCACTTTTCCAGTTTTATTTTTACACGTGTTTTAGAAATTATGGCACAAGCTATAGTTCTTTTCAGAGGGATGATATATTTAGACATACTAATTTAATAAACAGCCTTCCAATTTTTGCAGATGGTACCTTCCAGCTAACCTGTGAATGATTAAAACGTTAACTCCTTGCATTATCTTCAGTTTCCTGTGCACATAATCACACCCAAGAGTCGGTGCACCTCGGGGACCTGCAATGCCTGACTCTTACATCTGGCTGGGCTGCGGTCTGGCTGCAGTGTGTCCCTCAGGCTTCCTTCTTCAGTTTCACCCTGCCTTTCTGCCACACTGAGGCCTGTACAGGAGGAGGGAGAGAGACTGCAGCCTTGTCTGGAAGTCTGGACCTGCTTTACTGGTCTCTTTGCAAGCTTGCTGTGGGGATCGATTGTTCACAGGTGACTTTCCTTCCCTTAGCTACGTGGCTTCCATGCAGCACCAGAGGCACAGGGCAGCCTAGCAGCTGCATGGCTCTCAGCCTTGGCTGGACATTGGAGCTGCCAGGATAGGGTGTTTAAAATATGGAAACCTGAGCTCCACCCGGATCAGTTAGGTCAGTGTCTGTGGTGAGGAACAAGCCACTGCACTCCTGGTCATGGGCAGATGCTCCGCTTAGAGGTGGACTTTCAGGAAAGCCTCCCACTTGTGACTTTGCTTCTCAGGGGAAGAAAATGGCTCTCTGCACCAACAACATCTCAGACTTCACTGTGAAGGAAACGGTGGCAGGCTCAGATGACTACGCGAATCTGGTCGGAGCGTTTGTGTGCCAGTCGACAATTATTCCTTCTGAAAGCAAGGGTTTCCGGGCAGCCTTATCTTCCCAGTCCATCATCTTAGCAGATACGTTTCTAGGTAAGTTTTCTTTGGCGAAGAAATACATGGTACATTTACCCTAAAATTATGGTCACAATAATCTGTCATTGCATCTGTGCTAGCCACAGATGAGTGAGGCCTGCAGGGGATTCTGAGTCTCCACTTTGCAAAATGCTTGACAAGCTCAGCTGTGGGGCCTCTTGCTCGTCTCAGAGTGCAGGAAGGATTCTAAGTTTAAGTGTGAGCTCGGATGTGCTGTGACCTCTTAAGAGGCTCTCTGCCTTTTGTCAGATTAAGAGCCAAGCTGATGATGAGAGCCGAAGAGCAACAGCAGAAAAGTAAGAACAGAAAGCAAACACAATCTGAGTCTAAATCAGTTTATGCCATCAGTTGTCTTTCTTAGGCCATAAATAGGCTGGTAACGAAGCTGAGGTGTCAAGCTTTCTTCCTCATGCCCTTTCTGGGTCCATGGTCCTGGGAAGGAAAGGGAAGTTAGGAATGTGGGTCTGGGCTGTGGATTTAGCTCAGTGGTGCCGCTGCCTGCTTTACAAGTGCAAGGTTCCAAGTTCTATCCCTGGTACAAAAAAAAAAAAAGTGGGTGTGTAAGCCTGGGATTCATAGGAGCTGGCTTTGCTAGGACTTTTGGGGGTGGGGCTGGGAGCTTATGGTTGTGACAAGCCCTGTAGGTGATTGTGGTGTGCAGCCTGATTGCAGAACCAGGGCTGTGGACGCTGGGGAATGGCGCTTCAGCGTTCAGCACCGCGGCCAGCTCCCAGGCCGTAATCCAGCGCCTCAACTCTAAAAAGGCTTCTGCTATTTCTGGAGTCGGTTCATCATTTCGCCTATTAAGAGATAGGAAGAAAGTCTTGGGAACTTTTTGCTTATTAAATGAGGTAGATTTTAAGGTTATTTAAAAAAAATGATTAGACTATATGGGGTCTCGCTGTCGCCAAAGCCTTCCTTGAGCTCTTAGGCTCATACCATCCTCCTGCTTCAGCCTCCCGAGTAGCTAGGACCACTGACTGTATCTATGAACTGAGCAAAAAGCTACATGAGCAAAGCAGCCTGGCTCCTCTGGAGAAACGGGGCAGAGGGTAACAATTTTGATGCGCAGGTTTGAAATACTGGAACCAGAGGGACTTGGGTACCACTTCTATTACTGCATATGCATTCTCCAGTTTCTAGAACTGAAGCCCAGGGGAGTGGCGTGACTCCAGTGTTCCAGGCTCGGGAGGAGAGTCTTCTCTTCTGGATGGATAGGTCTTGCTTTTACTGGGAATGCACTGCTTCAATGCATTGCTTTTGGTGAAATGACAGTCGTCAAAGTAAAGCTGTTTTCTATTCAGAGACCAAACAAACCTAACATTCCTGTATTCCTAATAGTTTCTCTTTAAATGTCATCTAGGAGTGACAGTTGAAGCCACACTGCAAAATATTAATATAAAGGAAGATATGTTCCCTGTCTCAGCAAGCCAAATGCCTGATGTGCACTTCTTTTATAAGTAAGTGAAGATGCTGCTTCCCTCGACTATCTCTGGTTGTATGTATTTTATTGTCCCAAAACCTTTCATAATTTTTCACAAATACAGATAGATAGATAAAATAAATATATATCTTTAAGCAATAAATACACTAGTTCATTGTGTAGGCAGTGAAGACTTCTAACATATGAAAATATCAGCTTAGGCCAGGCATGGTAGCATGTGCATGTGATCTCAGCACACGGGAGGGAGGCTGAGGCAGGGTGAGTTCGAGGCCAGCCTGGGCTACATAGTGAGTTCGAGGCCAGCCTGAACTACACAGTGAGGCCCTGTCTCAAAAGAAAATATAGCATAAGGCGCTATGACTCCTATTCCCTTTAAAAGCATTTTGATTATAGTTTTATCATAGCAATACCTTCACTTATAATTTTAACTAACAAAACAGTCACCTTTTTGTAGACGTGGAGAGGAAATGTATTTGCACTAAAATCTTAAATTAGTGAACTTTGACACATTTTTCTGTTTCATTTGTTCATAGAGTATGCGAGGCATTACGCACACATTTTTGTCTTGGTAATCTGCACCGTAGCTGTCTTTTAGAATGCTCTTTACCTTGTGACAGGTCTTCCACAGCTACAACGTCTTGTCCTGATGGCCGGTCCACTGCTGTGAAGATGAGGTGCAGCCCTGCGAGAGCGGGGGCAGGCGTGATCTCTGTCCCCAGGTACCCTGATCTCTGTGACCATTGTACACCTGCATCTAGTTTTAGAAGCAGAACTCCCTGGGCTCTTCCTCTTATGAGACGCAGTCTTTGTGGAAGTAAAGTGGAGTGAGAACAAAAGAACCTGCGGGTTTTGCTGTGGGCTATGCTGTGCCCTGATGAAGGCAGGTCGCTGTCCAGTCTCAGGACTTCCTGCCATTTTAATGACATGTCCTTGAGTGTCTGCACCCTTGAAAGTTATTTGGGCAATTTATAATTAATTGCTCTGTTTGTGTCCTTGCATTTATTCTTTCTATTTGTCCTCCATTCCCTGGAGAGCTGGATTAGGAGCTCTCCTGGTTTATGGGATTGGAGTAACAGTTAACGACATAGCTGGGTGGTATAGACCAAGGAGCCAGCTTCTGAGTCTTAGCTCCTCTGTCTGGATGGGCACCGATCCATTTCTCACTCTTCAGGGTTCCGATTAATGGCGGCCAAATCATGAAGGCGAGCCTGGCCTGCAGAGGGACCTTCAGTCTGCGTAATTGACTGACCTGGCTCACTGGCTTGCCACACTGTGATGCGACAAACACTTCTCTTTGGGAGGGGACACCATGGAGCCATGGACGAGTCCTAGGTGCAGAGTACTGTGCTCATGGGACGTGGCACACTGAGCTGCCTCCTGATTTTATTGTGCAGTTACTCTTCACTCAGTATATAATTTATTTTTAATCTTGTTAGGATTAAGGCATGTTTGATCAATTTGAGTTGGAGATTTTTTTCACCATCAAACTACAAAGGCATATATTCTTAAAGAGTAAATGGTTGATTTAATTTCTCTTGATAATTTCACAATAACCCTTGAGGCATTTTAAGCTACCGTGCGATGTCACATCAGGATTGGAATCAGTGGTACCCTGAAAATAACCACAGCGGTAGCACAGTGTTGGGGTTGATTTTGGGTACAGTGACGTTCACTGCTCACCAGCTCCATCTCTCTGCTTGCTGCAGCCTCCGAAGTAATTATTCCTTTTACCTGACCAGGAAGAGAGGAATAGCAGTAAGGCAGTAGACAGCAATCTGGGTGAGCAGGGCTGCTCCTGCACCCCAGTGGCCCCTCTGCCAGAGTCCAGGCAGCCAGGCACACTGGGTGAAGACGGCTTCAGGGTCCTAGCCAGGACACAGGATGGCGGGGCTCCCCCTGTCTGCTGCCCCACAGCATGGCCTTCAGTTCAGGCACCCGTGCTGTTTCCTGTGGCGCTGCTGACCTTCCTTCCGGACCCCACCCTCTGGGTCTCGCACTGGGTGTCCCCATGGGCAGCCCTGCACCCGCAGGGCTCCAGCTCCAGCTGGTGATGTTCCCAAGGCCCAGTCCAGCATTAGAAGTAGGAACAGTCACCCTGTCTGACTCCTGTTTCAATGTCAGGGTGGAGGTGGCACAGGTTGTGTGATGGCATGGAGAACCCGGTGTTCCTGTGAGGAGAGAAGCCTTTCCTCTCACCTCTGGCAGCCTGCCCTTGGGCACCTTAACTGTCTTTTCAGCTTCTCAAGATCCCCTGCAGCAGAAACCTAAGGACATCTATTTAAAAATTGATTTCTAAAACTTATGGAATGTCAGTGTTAAGCATTAGAATATTTTTAAAAACACAAGGCAATTTGGGTACATAGTGAAATTTGAGAACCGCTTGTCTGTCATAAGGGACATTTTGTAGTTGAGGATTGTTTTCCTAAGGTGTGTTTCTATCTGTGTTTTGCATCTTAGTGTTCTGAACACCTAGTGTAAACTTGTAGTCTGCAGTGGCCAACTTCACCAATCTCCCTAGTGCTTTAGTGCAGTTGTAATGCACACTGGGGCGGGCACACTGCTTGCTGAGCGGCTTGCACCACAGCTCCAAGGTGCCTCCTTCAGTCTTCTCCTGGCTCAGTTTCCCACCAGGGCATCAGGGGGCGCTCAGGGAGCAGAACACAGGAAAGAGTGACTCCCTGAAATAATCAGAACCAACCTATCTTCCTTCCCTCCTTCCCTCCCTCTTGTTTTCCCTTCCATCTGTAGGACCAAATAAAGATTTTCCACTAGCAGGAAAGAAATGTCGATGAAGCCGGGTTTCTCAGGCTGCTTTTGAGGTGGATTTATTTTGTACTTTTATGAAGTGCAAGGGAAGATAGCTGCTAACCAGGCAGCTGGCTTTGGGAAGCCTCCTGTGATGGCAGAGAAGCCTCGGGGGAGACTTGCGGGCAGAGGGGGACCTTGGCCCGAGAATCTTGGCAGACCTGGCAGGAGTGATAGGAATGTCATCCTGCTGTTGAGGCTCTGAGTCTCGGTGGCCTGGGAAGTCATGGAGCCTTCCAGCCCAGGGAGGGAACACGTCTTCTCGCGGCAGCAGAAGGGGAGCTGTGTCTCCTGGTGTCACTTGGGCCCGGGAGGGGCAGCGAGTCATCTGGGCCACCAGCTCAGGTACAGGCGGAAACCCCAGCTGTCTGTGCGGCCTGGCAGTGCACTGGTCTCTAATGCCACAGGGTCTGGATGGCCTGAGGCCGTTGAAGTGCAAACAGCAGCGGAGTGGTCTTTTGAGATTTTCAGTGCAGTTTGCTCCTTGGGCCCAGGAGTCCATAATATCCTGAAATTCACCCCCAGACTCCCTCTCCCAGAGCCCACATCCCAGGCACACAGAGTGAGTCTCTGCTCTGGTCACCAGTGATAGGGACCGGAGCACTGTGCAGAAGCTCTTCCACTTCATACAAGGCCCTCCGTCCCGCCGGACCCTGGCCCTGCACAGAGCGGAACCCCTAGTCCAGCTGCCAGACGGCGTGTGGAGATGGGCAGATTTCTTGACTGTGTTTTGTGTCCTTTCACTCCGTATCTCGCCATCACCCTCCACTTCCTCATTTCAGAGAAGCACTCCAAGAGAAGAGGCAGAAAGCACACTTGTCCCCGGGTTACCTCAGCAGGACCTACAGCTCCTGGGTACATGAATGAATTGTCCTTCCTCAGTTTGCTTTATTACCATTACGAGTTGAAATGAAAACTTCATCTTTATCTCTCTCTTTCCCTTCAAATTGTGTGTGTGTGTGCGTGCGTGTGCGCAGGGGATCAGACTCAGGACCATGCACCTACAAGGCAGGCAGAGTGCCCCTGAGCTAAATCCCAGCCTTCTTTCCCTTCCAATTTTTGACCATGATTGCATAGTTTATAAATCAGTCTAAAGTTGTTTTGCCAAAACTTCTCAGAATCCAAATCCACTTCATTATCAGTGTGGTCTTAGAAGGTCATCTTCTCATGAGTGTCACGAAGGGCTGCTTCACTGTCCTGTCCTGATAGTGTGCAAGGTCAGAACACTCCATGGGCGCTGTTTTATTGGTACATTTTAGGGTACATCACGGTCACATTCATCATTGGGAGTTTGTACCTATATGTGTTTTCTCTTGGTCACGGGCTGTGATTTAGAGTCTTTCCATCAGAGTCATCAGATTTATTGGACACTAATGTAGTAGTTGGTTTGCTCACTGGGGGAAGAGTGCTAAAGCCAGAAACTGTGCATTTGAAGTTACTGAGCTCCTCATCTTCTCTCTGAGCTTTGCAGACAGATACGGATCCGCATCTGTACAAGGTAAATTAAGAAGGTAATAGAATGCAGACTGTTAAAAGCAGATATGCTCCTAGAACATTAAAATGTAGGAAGTCATTAAAAGCATTTTGAGCATACCTGAAAAGAACTGAAGCTAAGGAATGGAAAGACTACGGTGGACTTGCTGAAATCATACAACTCCAACACTAACAATAATCATAACACGTAACAAACAGTAACCTAAAACATTCATAAGGTCTTTAGATCAGTTTTGAAATAAGAATGATCAAGTTTTTCTACAAGAAAGATATAAACTGTGTTAACAGAAGAAACTAGGGAATATAAGTTAATTTACTTTGATTTTGATTGGATGCTGACTTTTAATAACCTAGCATAGACTCTTCAGGAAGGAAAGAGTTTATAGGAGATCAGTATATTTTTTGTATCTCTTGATATAAGATCCATAGGCAAAAAAAATCTGTGTTCCAAGTCGGTGTTCTGGGGTCTGAATATTCATGTCCTCCTGAGTAAAAGGCTGAATAACCTCACTTAATGCCAAGTCGAGCTGAGGGCATAAGGAGGATGTGTGTTTGGGGCAATTATGCCATGGCTGCTCTGCCAACTCAGATGAGCTTAGTGTCCCTAGGAAGAGCCCAGAGGGTGAGCTGCCTTCACCACATGAGGACACAGCAAGGCAGCACCATCAGGGAACAGAACAAGCCTTCCCCGGACACCGGTCTGCACCAGTCTCTCAGTCCAATGTGTTTGTGTTAGACACCAGATTGAGCAGTGTGTGGAGACCAGGGTGTCACCAGCAATGGTGCTTTCCAGCCTCAGCCCACAGAATCGCAGCCAGAGACGGTGGCGCTCTGGACCCCCTGTGAGGGACTCCTTTGCCTCCGACCCGGTGCTCTCGGCAGAGAGGCCACAGCTAAGCATGTCACCAGCAACACTGCCCACACCGAGGGCGACAGTCGCATCTGCTGCCTTTCTCAGACGCTGCTGTGGGAGAAGCTCACCAGCAGTGGTGTCCTTGCTGTGGGGGAGAAGTGTCCCAGGGATACGGCAGGGTGACCGAGGCCCGAGACTGCCTTGGAAGGTCAGTGAGGCACCATCACTAGAGAAAGACGAGCTTGGGATCTGAACAAGTATTGGTGAAACAAAGCCACGCTGCCTTGTAAGCTGCATGTCTCCAGGTTAGCGTGAGGTCATGAGAAAGGATTCTTATCTATGACTTCATCAGCTGAGCCTCACAGATCCCGCTGTAGGAAAGACTGTTTGTCCAAAAGAAGGCTCTTTAGAGTTGCTCAGTGTGAGTGCCCCAAGATATGTACCCCAGTTTTAGTCTGAGACGGTCTTCCTAAACATGGTGTGCCTGAATTCTGACATGTCGCCATGGCGTCCTGTTTATATAAGGCAGCGTCACAAGCCAGGCAAGGCAGCCAGGAGATCTGATCCTTGCTCATGATTGAAATGAAGTCAGGGTCCACCCAACTGTCCTGTAAAGGCTCTTCCCGGGTCGTAGCACAGTGGGGACCTGCAGGACGCAGCTCCTCCTGCCGCAGCCGTGGCTGTGGGCTCTGCACACGCTGGCTCCCTGTGCTCTGTGACTCCAGCCCAGAGGTCAGGGAGGAAGTATGCTGCAGCGCTTCTACCCCTGCCTCAGGACGCTGGGCAGAGGTGGGGAGGTCATTGCCACCAGTGATAGAAACAGACCTGTTTGTTTGGCAGCAAAATGTTTGTCTAGTTTGCTGTTTGCTCTTTAGTTCTCCTATAAAAAAGGCCTTTAAAAATCTTTCTCTTGTACGTTCTCTTGCTAATCCTGTAAACAAGCGCTGCTGGGATTTGTCACTGCTGCATGGGTCCTTGTCACTTTCTGGAGAAGGCTTGGTTCAAGCTGTGCCGCTTTGGTCCATGGCAGGGTTGCATGTGGGCGTTCAGCATTTTAAATCATTTATTGGGGTGGAAGAATCAAGGGCTGGGTTCTACCCTGAACCGCTTTCCGAGTACCTTCAGGAGAGCGGGGTCTGCCCAGGACGGCACTGAGTCACTGCGGTGTTTGGACTCAGTGGCAGTCGGGACCTCACCTCTGTCAGCCTTTTGGTTCTTGGTGGTGGTTTCCGAAGTTCTGTCCATTCCTTAGAGAGTGATGTGCATTGTTAATGGTCTGTTATGTTTTTGCAGAGCTTTGAACTTTGCCGAATTATTCTGTTGTCATATTTGCTGTAACTGCCCTTTGAAGGCAGTAAACGGATATCGAAGTTAGCAAATAACAAAGATAAAGCAGCGGGCAGAAGCGATGAGTCATGTGTGTGAAAACACACTTCTGATTCAGTCAGAATTGCAACCTGAGTGTTCTCTCTGAGATGTTGAAACTCTGATTCATTTTTTCCTTTTTGAATTTAAGTCTTTCCCCCCAGGTAAATAGTTTGAGTATGTACGTCTATATGTGTTTATTTACTGGTTTAGTTTTGTTTGGTGCAAGGGCTCTTTCACTGTGCGGCAGCCCTGGCCGTGGTTTGTTTTCCCCACCTTTACAGCTTCTCCGTATTGGGAATATAAAGTTGAAAATGACTTGGAGGGGAGAGATGTGAGTCAGGAAGCATGGTGGAGATTTTCCCTAAGTGATTAGAAAATATAATCACCTTTAAAATTGCATTTCATTGTTGTGCAACAACAATTCTGCTCTTGAATTTTCTAGATGCTACCTTCTGTTTTTAAAAAGAACAGTGTACATTGCTTTTGCTGATGCATACAGTGGAGAGTAGAGGTCATGCTTTATGTGGCACGGTTTTCATTGGCTGTTTTCACATCTGTTGTTAAGCTTCCGTTTGTTTCTTAGTCTGGATTATATTCATTACTCTTTTTACTGGGCAGATAGATTAAGGCAGATAACAGTCAAGCCATTTTCCACTCACCATCTCCTGATGCTCTTAGCTCTCACCAAAAGCCTTGGGCCTCAGGTAGAGTGAGACGTAAAGAAGATTGCTGTTAGTTATATTACTACATCTGTTTCAGCCGCAGCACACAGGCATAGGAAATGCGGTCCATTCTTGGTTAGAATTAAGGTAATTCTCTTTAAATGTCCATATTCTAAAGAGTCTCAATATATCAACTAAGAGTATGAACTTTTACTTTGTTGAAAGACCGAAAAATAGGACTGTGGACTCTATCGATAATTAAACAGGCATATGTTGTTAAAACTTGAGTATTTTCTGGATTCTCACTACAGACATTCCTTGTTTAATGACCAAGTTACATTCTTGAGACTGGCTCATTCAGTGAATTGGTCATAAGTGAGGAATTGTATGTAGGATGCACATTACAATATTCCGAACAAAGAGATGGTCAAAGGAAACTCCAACGTAATGACTTTGTTTTTATTTGCATAACTCTTGCATGTAGTACTGTATTGTATGACAGACCATAAAACTATGGTACTGTACTGAAAGGTAAATCAGGAAAAATTACAGTGCTGAACCGTAGAAGAAGCCACTGTAAGGCTGCACTGCCACTCACGTTCCTGCATCCTAAGCCTGAAAGCGCTAAGCAGGTGGGTTGTTAAATGTCTGTATTCTCTGTCTGCCTGTGTCTGTGGTGGTCAGGAGAGCTGCACACAGTGTCTGTCCGCCAAGTCTGTAGGCGGTGGGCAGGGGGAAGCCTCTGTTTACCTGGCTGGGTTGAAGGAGCTGCCATTGTGGTGGATGGGGGGCAGTGTTCTTCTAGTGTCAACAAGTTCCCCAGCAAAGCAGCTGTGCTCCTGAGAAGCCTTCCAGAGAGTGTCCAGCTTCATTGAGGACTCTGTGCCTGGTGGCAGCAGGTTAACTTTAAGCCATGCTGGGCTAAGCCGAGCCACTTAAACCTTGCAGAGCTACATGCAAGAGCAGGCAGCCCCACCAGGAAGCTGTGTTTCAGAAGGGTCCACTGAGGCCCTGCCTAGTGATCAGTACCGGTCTGCAGGGGCGCTGACCTCTGTTCTCCATGGGCTGACATAGTTGTTGACATTGTGATGGGTTGGTTTGTGGGGACATGGTGTGACACATTCTCCCTCCCTTCCAAAACTCCATGGTCCTGGGCGTTGTTCTGCTCCAAGGACAGCACCCTCAGCAGGGCCTGCGTCTCCTTAGAAAGGCACTCTGAGCTCTTTAGGTCTCCCCTGTCTGTACCAAGCCCCAAGCAACCACTGCCCTTTCTCAGGTGTGGGTCTTCATGTGAATGGCATCACATGCTATGTGAAATTCTGTGACTTTTTTTCGTTGAGCACAGCATTCTCAAGATTCAAGAAAATGTGGCATATGTCACTATTGTATTTCTTTTCATGGCCAGCAGTATACCTTAAAACAGATATGTTAGATTTATTTATCTGTTCATCTGCTGATGAACGTTTGGGTTGTTTCCACTTTTTGGCCATTATGAGTAATGCTGTTATGAACATTTGTGTACACTTTTTAATGGACATATGCTTTCATTTCTCTTGATTGTATACATGAGGTGTGATTAAAACGTGGTTAATGTTTAAAATAGAAATTCTATTACAGTAAAAGACACATTGCCATCCATCCCCCAGAGAATCCTCCCCTTAACTTGGAACACACTCATCCCATTGATCTGTAGCAGCTCTGCAGTCCTCTCTCCTGAGGGTCTTTAGTTGCACAGTTACAGATGCCTCCTTGTCCTGAATCAGTGCAAAATGTTCCCCGGTCATGTAGACTTTGGGGAAGATCCGGGAGTCACACGGTGCCACACCCTGTGGACGAGGGGTTGAGGACACAGCACCGTGATTTTATTGGGCAGAAACCTCAGTAGATACCCTGGTCACTGAGGGGCTGCTGCGTGGTCGCGATGCATCCCCTTTGCAGGGTGTGAGGTCCCAGCCCCATCCTCACGGCTCGCCGTGGGCTGTGTTAACCCTCCTTCCGCAGCTATGCGGCCGCGGCCCCTCAGGGCTCACCCTGCGCCCCAGCACGGTGGGCACCTCGGCGTTGACAGGCGGTGTCGTCTCTTTTCATTCCAGCAGGTGCCCAGCAGGCACCTGTGATGGGTGTGCCTTCTACTTCCTGTGGGAGAGCGCTGAGGCCTGTCCTCTGTGCACGGAGCACGACTTCCACGCCATCGAGGGCGCCTGCAAGCGAGGGCTGCAGGTGAGGCCCCCGCCCTCAGGAGTGTGCGTGACAGCGGCTGCACTGCGTTTCTGTCACCCGGGGAACCAGGGTGGTGTCGTGCGTGAGGAGTGAGGACAGCAGGCTGAAATCCTGCCCTGGAGTCCGGCTCTCTGACCGTCTTCCCGCTTAGTCCGTCTTTGTCCCACACTTCACGCGTTTTCCTTCACGGTGACTGAAGTGCCCTTCCCCAGTTGTGCAAGTACACGGTGTACACGCCTGTGAAGCCCGACACACACAGCTGGTGCACACAGGGACCGCACAGCTGGGGAGGAAAGTGCTCTTACGGAGGGGTCTCAGCTGCGCGGGCATCACATCTGCAGCCACTCAGCACAACGATTGGATGCTCTGCTAGCACTAGGAGAGATTGCTAAATTTATCAGTAAATGTATCCTAATCCTGTTCAAAAAATATCTACCCGCTGGAAGAATAAGCATTTCAGCTGTATATTAGGTATTCTTTTTTCTTTTGTGGTTAGATGAAGGGATAAGGCTTTCTAATTAATACGGGATGACTAGGGAGTTTCACTGAGAAAGATTTTTTCTTTTATAGTGTTTGAAGAGCTTATGAAAAACATAAGCATTACAGATTTACGAGCATCTTTTTAAATTTGAACTTTTAGCATGTTTAGCAGACTACCACTAGACATTAGAGCTCGCCATTTTCATTGGGCATTAAAGCTTTGACAGAATCACACCCACACACAATCATTTTCATTGTGGAACACACCTCACATGCAGTCACTTTTGCTGACTTAGGTTTGCATCTTTTGCTGTGTGGACATGATTTTCACTTAGAGATGCAGCAGCTGAATTTTAACACCTCTGTATTTCTTATCTCACCCATTTAAAAAGTGTTTTATTTATTCTAACCTTAATGAAAATGTTACAGTTGTCATGTACTTAAAAGTTTTAATCACTAATACCGTTGCTAAAAAAAAACACCTTAAAGTTCTTATCCAAAACTTAATTTAAACTTTTCCTCAAAGTAAATGAGATTCTCCTACATATTACTTGAAAATTTGCTGCAAAAATATGTTTTACCTATAAATGTTATGGGGCTATTGTGCTAGGCAGTTCATAAGGTGACAGTCATAATGCCAGAAAACTTAATGAGGCTTGATTAGCAAAACAATGCCCTGTGTCATTTATTGTTACTGAGTATAGCCATCATTTGGATTGCTACTGGTTGCCAAATATGTTGAAAGGTATGAAGAACTCCTCCCTGAATTCTGATTTTCATTTTTGAACTGCCTTACTTGATTTATTCATTTTTCACATTTCTGGTTGTGATCTGTTGTGTTGACTGTATCATTCCTTGGTGGGTTGTACCTTGCTATTCCCTGGAGGAACCAAGTTGCCTACTTTGGGAGGGTGCCTGGGCCCAGGGTGGGCAGTTAACTGACACGTGCCCCCTTATTTGTCCTGGAGAAGAAGACACGGTCTGTATGTCTGTCCTCACTCCAGCCACACAAGCTGGCCACCTCAGGGTGCTGCGTGCCCTGAGGCTGAGGTTGTCTGCCCTTCTGGAGGGCAGGCTGGGTTACGGGTATGTTTGGGGTGGGAGTGAAAGCCATTCTAATTTATTATGGTAAGCAGTTTATTATTATATAGTAATCATGTTCTCAAAAATGTGATGAAGAAGTTAGGTTTGGATAAATTTGGGGAAAATAGCCCCCAGAGATGTATTGGAGGGAGTCATTTTTGCTCAGCCTCCTCAGCATGCAGGGAGTGCCTCTGATGTGAAATCCATGTCTTATCTGGCGCTGCACTTTCATTTACTATTTCCTTATCCTTTCTCTTTTGTGTCTCTGTCTTTTCTTTCTGGAGATTTTCTTAAGGGAATGCCGAACAATCCTCTGTGCCCTCTGTGAGAAAGGGATTAGCAAGCTCTTTCTTCTGCTACATGAAAAGTTGACCCAAGGACAAATTTGGTTTTCATGATTGGCTCTGCATCTCATTTCTCCTGTCATCTGTGGTTATATTTGCTTGTTTTAAAAGGAAACCCTGTACGTGTGGAATGAGCCTAAATGGTGCATTAAAGGGATTTCTTTGCCTGAGAAAAAGCTGTCAACCTGTGAAACCATTGACTTTTGGCTAAAAGTGGGAGCTGGAGTGGGAGCTTTCACAGCTGTTTTGCTGGTGGCCCTAACTTGCTACTTCTGGAAAAAGAATCAAAAGTAAGCAACTTTTCAGGAACAATCACATAAGAACTGGGGTGGGGTGGGGTTCATTTGTGCCTTAAAATTTTAGTTAACTAGTTCATGTAGATTCTCTGAAAGGCGCCAGACATTTCTCTGAGTGAAGGAGTTACAAGAAAGGCATCTGAGAAAGGAGCTGAGCAAGTGATTATTATTCTGATCATAGAAAGACCACAGAACATAAAGATCACTAAGTTATACTCAGTTATTATCACAGAGAGAAACAAAAGCTACAGTTTGCCACATAGATGGCAGCAGAGCTGAGACTGGAAGACAAGTTCTCTGGTTTTTCTTTTCATAACATCATAATGTCTTCCTGCTCCACTTTTTCTTTTCAAATTCTTGTGGGCAGATATTTGGAAAGAAATAGACTTCAGCATATAGACAAATATCACATTTATTCTCTTCACATCTCCAAGAATCTGGGACCGAATATCAAGCCTAAGCCCTGAGGGAGTATTTATCTGTTACATGTTTGGATGTTTTGTAATGATTGATACCTCACTGGGACTGTGGAAGATACATATTCTACTATCTAGGACAACTGTCATGTCTGAGGTGGTGAGTTAAGCATAAAGCTGTAAATGATGCAGAAGGGCAGTAAGGATGAACTCACTTGCCTGTTTAATATGGTCATCCTTATGAACTTTAGAAAATGTGATGATGGATTGGCATCCACATACTAGTAAATTAATAAATTAATGCTTTCTGACCTCAGAGCGTCTCTTTGTTTTCCAGACGTCACATGGAAGTTCAGTCAATGTGAAATGAGTAGTAGAATTAACTGTGTTGAACCGATTCTCTGGCATGCTGGGGAGTATTTTTATCTAGATGGTTGATAATTGGGAACACAAAACCATGGTCTTAGGTTGGCAGAGCAACTACATCAGGAGAAGACCATTTGGTGAGCTGGCACGCTTTATTCGTGTAAGTGCACACTTTCTTAATAATTATTTAACTTTCCACAACTTAGATTGGAGTACAAATATTCGAAGCTAGTGATGACGACAAACTCGAAGGAGGGTGAGCTCCCAGCTGCAGACAGCTGTGCCATCATGGAAGGGGAAGAGAATGAAGAGGAAGTCATGTGTTCCAACAAGCAGTCGCTCCTGGGAAAACTCAAATCTTTTGCAACAAAGGTGAGAACAGGATATTAACCTGGAGTACTAAACATCTATGAATCAGGGCTCTGTTAACCTAAGAGTACGTATGCAGCCCCTGCCGCTCCACTGTTTACATCTCAGTGGTGTTCATCCTACACTCGTATGAAGCACATGGTGCAAACACAGAACACTCCCTGCAGCAGCGTTTTCTCTGGCCAACAAAGCAGAAACGACTTACACACCACCAATACAAATTAAGTGAGAAACTTCTTTATGTCGAAGTGATAGGAGGGTGTGGGACCGTAGCCGTTAACGTGGAGATATTTATAGTACTGATATGTCAGTAGGTTCACGGTAAAGTGAAAACAGCAAGACCATCACATCTCCATTAATACATATTCATGTTAGCATGTGCATAGCAAACTATTAACAGCAGCTACTTTTGGGAACAGGGAGCTATAGAGACTGCAAAGTCTTTCAAGTAATACATTTTTGTAATATTTCAAGTTTCACAAAGATAATTTATTTTATAATTTTAAGGAACAAAAATTAGTTAACCAAAGATCTCTTATACATACATATTTTTGTGTTTATTTTACAACAAGATTATTTTACATAGAAAAAATAAAATTTACATAAAAGATTGAGACGTTTGAGGTAGCACATCAGAGGGATTCACAGTTTCTGGCTTTGGGAGTGACTGCTGTACCCAAACATACTGTGAAACTTAAACATTTTCTTGACATTCTCCATCATTAACTTAAAAGATGTAAACCCAGCTTATCCATTCAAAATTAAAAATAGAATGATGCAGAAGAAAGAAAATGCATGTAAAGTGATTTCCAGCAGGACAGACGTGACAAATTGCTACATTTGTAGACAGTAATAGTCATCATTTCCTCTTAGTTTCTTAACTTGGGAACATACTTATATTATAGGAGACTATTAATGAAATAAGTTAACTATCTTCCCCTTCTAATGCTTATTTAATTTTGTCTTGTAATATGGGAGTTTGGGGGAGCTATTGATACAATGGGATAATAAACATAATGACTGTTAAGAACTGAGAAGTTTTCCCTACTTGCAAGCTAACAATTGAGACTGCCACAGGTTCACAGATACTTTAAAAGATGTAAGACTCCTGGTCAGAGACACAGGACAGTTTAATACTCCCAGAGGTCCAGTCAGTGACTCCAAAGTCCAACCAGTTTCCAAAGTCCTACTTCCACTGGGCCAAATGCAGAGAAAATGATGACACTTGGCTGCACTACTAGAAAGGAACTTTAAGCTTTGGAGATCTGAATTTTCAGAATAGGTGCCAGTAAGCCCATCCTGACTTTAAGGAGTCATTACCTTTGCTGTACTAGACAGGCAGAATGCCTGCCCACTGCTTCAAAGGGGCTGTATGTGAGTCTCCCTTTTGCTCTGGAAGGAGACAGTATCTTTATCTTCTAAGGCTGCTTTCTTTGCGACAATTCTTAAAAAGATAGTCTAGAATAGAAGGAAATCAGTATCTCATTCAAAAGCTGTATAGAAATTTAAGGAAAACACAGAGAATTATCTCCATGATATCCGAAGTTCATTTCTTTGCCATATTGGTTTCTACTGAATTTTCCCTGCAGTATAGGAGTCTACCCACCACTCCAATTAATATGGCTCGCTGAGGCTGGGATCAGATCAATTTACTTCACACAGAATTTAAACAAAACCAGTATCGGTGAGACATGAGGCAGCAGATGAGGCCAGTCTGCATTATTACCTCAGCCACCCTCCAGGGTCCCAGACCAGCCTAGCTGAATGAATGCCGTAACCCAGTGGCCTTCCCTCAGAACGGTAGACAACTTTCTCCTCAAGTCCTTAGGCTTTCTGTCAGCCTGACACTCACCCTGGCACCAAGATGCCAAGGGCCATGATCTGGTGCATCTGATGGATTCTTCAGCGAGATTAAAGGAATGGCAGCCAGATTGTGATGAGGGCACATGGTGGGTGAGGCAGATGCAACAGTCAGTGAAGTTAAAGGTACTTCTGCCAGCTTGAGAGAGCTAGGCTGGGCATTTGCCTTCACAGCAGAGTGACGAGGCTTCTCTGAGAGCCCACTGGTCCCCATGGTGCCTCTTACTGCATCCCTCTGTGCGGGGGTCCTGCCACCCAGAGCCCCACTGGGAGTCTGCAGTGTCGTCCCCTCTGTGGTTGCCATCCCATTCTAGAATCCGTCACTTCTTCCTCTACTCTTCCCTCACTGGGACCTAGGTCTGTTCTCCCAAACACGCAGGTGCCAAAGGGGCAGGAACATTTTAAATCACAGTGGAGACCCCGTGTGTGCCCCACTTTTATCCATGTGAGCCCTGGCCGAGCATGTGGTGAGTGAAATACTCAGCAAGTGATCTTTGTGGTTTTGATCCAGAATTGCAGCCATCAGTCAGGCAGGAATGCAGGTGAGAGTGTTTGAGCCTCCTGGCTAGGCTGTCACTAGAGACAGCCTGGGGGTTGCAGAGCAAATAAAGACACGTCTTGCTCAGAATAGCCATGCAGAATCCTGGACTGTCAGACAAGGTGTTTGTGGAGCGTGTTCATGTGTGTTCATTTGTCCCTTCCTGATGATTGTCCATGAGGAGGCCAAGGGGAAATGATCCCCTCCATGGTGAGCCATGTTTAGTGACCAAACTGCCTCTCTTAAATTATGTGAAGCAGGAGGAGGTGAGGGAAATACAGTCAGGTCTTTGCTTTTCCCTTTCTGAGAAGGCCTCTTCTCAGTGGTACCATGTGCCTCTGGAGGACAGGAAGCACATGAAGTCCACTGCGTACCTCAGCTCTTGGCCATTTCTAGGTGGATTTTGTGATCAGAACTGTACCTGTTAGGGTTCAGATCATCCATAAGGCTACAGACGATATACAGATTTGTTCAGGGGCGGACATGGCAAGGCTAGAGTTAGCTGACCAGGGTGAGGACCCCCAACAGCCCAAAGGGGGTCACAGGTATGAAGCTATCAGCTTCAGAGGAAAAGATGGGCCATTTTCCAAGTCCCTGGTCTGTCTCGGTCATCTGCACCAGAGAAAAAGCCAGCACCCTGTGTCTGTGATGTAACATCAGGCGTCTCTCCAGGGTGGGTGCTGGGATGGGGCCAGCAGCAGCTGTATCTGTTGGTCTCGGGCAGCCTCTGCAGCAGCTTGATTCTGTGTCAGCCATTCACGAGGCAGTGCTTCCTGGGCGTGGCTCTGTGAATGGTATACATGATCTGAACAGAAGCTCAGTGCATTTCCAGGGTTCGGGGCCCCAAAGAAGGGTGATATTACTGTACCAGTCTGTAGTTTTTCAAGTGGCAAATAAACCAGATTTGTCATAGCTCAAAAGGCAGTAAAAATGTAAGGGTTTATTGTCCAGGTCTGTGAGGACCCTTTGGTTTCTGCCCACTGAGCAGAAAAGCTGTGTGGGTTTTGGTTGTGTGCACTGAGGCTGGACGTAGATGTCCATAGCAGCTGTGGACACTTTGGTGCCAGCTCACCTGAGGCAGAGTGCACAGGCCTGTGTGTGCCACGGGACTGTGTGCCACTGGCTCCACTGACTGGTTTTGTGCAGGAGAGTGAGGGTGACCTTTAAGGACTTACTGTCGTACTCTTATTTGGAGATGCTGTGGAGGCCACGCTGGCTTAGCTCTCAAATGTATGACATTTATGTTCAGGATGCAAGGATGGTTGGACCCTCCCCACCTTGCTAACCAGCTATGGGCGTGACTTTTCAGGGTCTGAGTGGAAATGAGACTCAGTTCTTTCAGGAGCTTGGTCACAGCTTGCAGCATTCTCAGAAGTGCTGTATCCAGCAGCGGTATTGGGGCAAGGAATCTAAAACTCAAGGGAGCCGGAGGTGAGGCTGCCCCTGCTGCCAGAGTCTCCCGCTGGCAAGGTCACTAGCTGTAGAACATTTTATGTACAGTTGTCCTTAGGGCTGTGAGACCACTGAGGTGGAGTGTGGCCAGCTTCTGGGAGGGAGCCTTTGACCTAGCCCGTGAGTGAGGTCCGGTTTGAAGGATGTGTGCTATGGGGTGACCGATGTTGTGGGGCCCTGTGTCTGCAGGGCAGTGTCACACCACAGTTGCCCTGTCCCCCCTTGGCTGCTGGGTGGATTCGGCCCTGCTCACCTCCTGCACAGCCCCAGGCACCTCTACCAGCCTCTCTGAACTGTGTGGGACCCAGGAGGGGCTGTCGGGCAGGAGGCATCTGACTGCACACCAGTGTGAACCATCTGTGTTGAGCAGCGGCTGTCAGAAGGGAGGAGAACGTGTGGAACGCACCTCACTCTGTTGGCAGTTACAGAAGGGGAGGAGCTCCAGGGACCTCTTGCTCCTTCTCCACCCAGGAACTCTTGCCTGCTTTCTCCTCCAAGGGGAAGAGCAGCAACACTCACACCCTGCTGTGTGATCACATGTGCAAGGCAGGAGCTTCATCTTGAAGGGCACACAGGACCCCAGCCCGGGTCTCGCTGTTTCCTTCCCTGGTCCAACCCTTGTTTGAATTGTGCCATGCCTCTACCTCTCTCCCAACAGTTTCAGGTCAAGTGGTGACCAGGGAAGCTAGCAGAGGTGCGTCTGAGAGCCCCTTGGTCCCTGAGCTGACACAGATGGCTGTGTCTGGTTCTCAGTCCTCCTGGTGAGGAAAAGCTTGGGCTTCTGTGCTTAGGATAGAGAGAGAAGGAACTGAGACTGAGTCCATTGTACAGGCTGTTGTCAGGAAGCACCGAATAAGTCCTGTGTTGACAGTGGGGTGATCGCTGTTGATGTCATCCATTTCGGCTTCAGGGACCAGGAGTCACAGGTCACACTAAGATTGCTCTCTATGTGAGGCTGTGGGCTTTCTGTCCTGCTGATTTGGACTTGACTTCATGGGAGTTTTTTGAAAGAACCCGCCTTCATGTCATGCATCCAAGTTACTACCTGGTTTGAATGTAAAGGATAAGAGAGTTTCCGGGAACTGACAACACCAGTGTCTAGATTCCTTGGGGCTAGCTTCTTCCTCTGCAGTGACTTTCTACACTGCAAACCCCAGGGGGCATCCAAAGCCAAAGTGCTGGTCAGTGCCTCACAAGTGTTCCTGTGGGACTCGGGCGGGCTCAGGGAGGTCCCCGAGAAAACCACAGCTCTGAAAAGTGCCCATAGACTTCTGAGGTCCCTTCCTGTGTCTCCCTGGATCTGAAGTTGTACGATGCACTGCAGCGGGTGTTGAGCCTGACGGCCCAGCCCCGCCGTTCGCACTGCACAGCTGGGGAGCCCTGCACATCTCCACGGTAAACGGGCCAGATTCTAAGTGCTCAGGTTCCTATGCTCTCAGAGTTCCAGTGGGCACACAGGCTGGGTGCGTGATCTACCTCAGAGCTGAAGAAGGCATATCCTCCATCTCCTGTTTCGTACCTGGCTAAGCACCGGTCAGTAAGGAAGCTCCCCTACCTTAGGACAGGTGCAGCCCGGCACTGTGCAGCGACGGAGTTGCTGCCCCTCAGCCCCTTCCTGCTTCTCCCCACCTCCTGGTTCCTCTGCACTGTCAGGCAGCAAAATGGAAGAGGACAGCAACACTTACTGCTTGGGTGGCTGAAGTTTGTCAGTGTGTTTGCTGTAATTTCCATGGAACCTGGAGAATTCTTGTTCCCGCTCTTGTCCTTCCTCTTCCAGAGCTGGTTCTGTTAGCGTTAGACAGTGAGGGCTCTGCAACTGCAGTTTGCTTGCTCATTGACAGAGTGGCTGCCCTGACGTCGTGGACACTAGAGGGGACATGGGTCTCCTGGAACACAGGAGCGTGTGCAACAGCAAGGACAGCAGTCTGGACCCCGCGCCCACTCCCCACAGGGCCTCAGCAGAGTTTGCTCCACAGCAGGAGGCACTAGAAGCAAGCATTTCCTTTGCTCTGGAAGGAGATGCTGTCTCTGCCATCCATAGCCTTTTACAGTATCAATATTTTTGAAAGATTAGAAGACAGGGTGCACAATGACCCCCTCACGAGCCATGTGGAGCCTGCAGAGCAGTTGCCAGCCTCAGCTTACTCAGCCTCCTCCCAGCTGGTTGGACCAGGTGACTCTCGCCTGTGAGGGTGCTGGTTTTGGTGGAAAGGGGCACTGAGGTGCCAGGAGGACTTTCAGGAGACAGCAGCCCTTGGCTGAACGGCTCAGGGAGAGCAGGCGAAGTCATCTGCACCTCTGGGCGCGTCGTGTCCTTGCGGTCCTTCCTCTGCTGGCATGGGGAGGCAGAGCGTTGCTGGTGGAAAAGTTCTTGGAAATAGTCACAGAGAACAGGAGGGGAGAATGAGCTTCCCCCAAGGAAGTTCATTGCTCCGCATTATGTTTTGATTAGTGACTTTAGTCAGCATGTTTTCTTTTTTTTCCTACTTTTTGAGACTTTTTTGGGTACTGGGAAGCAAACTCACATCCTTGTACTTGAGAGGCAGGCACCGGATTTTTCTTTTTAAAAAGTTGTACAGTGATATAGTCATTAGCCCACCTCTTAAATTTTATTTATTTATTTATTTATTTATTGGTACCGGGGATCAAACTCAGGTCCGTGTACTTGCCAGGCAGGCGCTGGAATCCCTGAGCTAAACTCCTGGCGTATTTGCTTTGTTATATATCTATCCATCTGTCTGTCCTGATCCTTTTAGTGGTCTTTTCTCTGGTATGTTCAGTGCACTTCAGGATACATACCACTTTAAGGTTTTCCTTAAAGGTGAAATGCACACACCACAAGAATGCACATGATTCAGTTAATTTTGGAAATGTGTCTGCCTGTGTAACTCCAGAGCCCATCAAAGTACGGAGGCTGGTCTCTCCCTGATGTGAACCCACGACCTTTGGTGCAAGTCAATCCCTTATCTCCTAAAGGAAACTATTGAGCTTGTGGACCCCAGACCAGTTTTGTCTGTTTTAGAGTATCATGGGATTATAGTCCACAGTATGTACTAATTTGTGTATTTTTTCTTTCATCCTGAAAGGTGCTTATGAGATTTACTACCTTGTTGTGCTGATCAGTAATATATTCTTTTTTCGGGGGATGGTTCAGAAGCAGTATTCTGTTGTTTGGATATACTACCAGAAATTGATAACTTACTATTCTCTTCTTTCTTTTTTTTTTGTACTGGGAATTGAACTCAGGATATTTTACTTTCGAGGCAGGTGGAGGAACCACTAAGCTAAATCCTAAGCCTTATCAGTGGTCTTTCTAGTGTTGACCAAGTAGAGATGCTGTGAATTTCATTGCACACATTTTAGTGTTTGCCCCATTTTAGAAAGTTTGTTGTGCATGATTTCAAAGAGCAAAAATATGCTAGCTGCTGTACCACGTAGAAGTACCTTTATCTTTTTTTGTTGACTTTTCCCACATATTCAAAATATCTTCAATTGATTCTTGTTTCTCTTATTTGTTTATTCCACAAGATTTCTGAGTCACCATGAGATGCACTGTTAGGTGAGGAACATGCAGAATCAGAATGGGGGAAGACACCCACGCACACACTCACACAAAGGAAGGAGTCTTGAGGCCCAGAGGAGAGTGTGCAGCCTGGGAGGTAGCAACAAGATGAGGAGGAGCTCCTGGCACAAGCCGGTGTGATGCTGGAGCGCTAGAAATTGGTCTCGTGTGGCACCTGTGCTGTGTAGAAATAAACTGAGACCTGGGGCGGCTCTCACATTCGTCCAAGGGGGCAGCAGGAGGTCACCATCCTCAAGTCACACACACACACACACACACACACACACACACACACAAACACACACACACACACAGGATTTATGTACGCACACGCGGCATGCACACACGGACACACCACTACCACCTCAGCGCTAGGAGCTAAGTTGGAGCTGGGTCCGCTGTGACTGCCTGGGTGAGAGGTGTTTGGCATTGTCCTGAAGTGTGACCTTGAGGAGACTAGCGGGAGTGCCCCCCCAAACACTGAGTGAAACCTTTTGGAGCCTCACGTTTCCTTCCTCTCTTGTCTGTGCCCGAAGCGCTCCCTTTCATGCGCCATTTGCACCACAGAGCAGACGCTTTGCGATGCCCTTTCCCGGCCCTGCAGCCTCGCGGGGCTCTGTGCAGTGCTGGTGCTTGGCGCTGTTGGGGTCCGCAGTGGTTACTCCAGAGCTGGTTATGGCTGATAAGCTCGCGGCTCCAGGCAGGTTTTTTGGGGCCGGCAGGGCTGGGCCTGCAGTGTCCCTGGGACTGGAGGCCAGCAGCGCGCACCCTCCTGCCCGGCAGCGCCACCCGTTCCCCAGAGCAGGTCAGCGCTTACTGTTTGCTTTAAAAATAATCCTAGTTCTCTTTTGATTCCTTTAGAAAGTTTTCTTCTGACTTTAATAAAGTATTGGGATAAATCCTATTTCATTTTTCCCATTAAAGAAAAAATTTATTAAATGGGTGCATTTTAAATGTGTTCTATAACACCAGAAACATTATATTTTAATTAAAACTTTGATGCCTGAGCTGAGATGACTTGTAATATACTGAGTAGGCACGGACCCAGAGACTTTCCTGACACCTGTCAGTGAACACTGGCGACCTCATGTACCATTGGTGTCCTCTCCCTTCTTCCTGCTGTCCTTTCCTTCTATCTTTCAGCCTGTGTTTACTTGTTTTTTGTCGGTTTTGTTTTGCCCATCATCAGCACAGGAGGTCATTGGTCTCAGCACTAAGGTCAGGTGTGCCCTTGGGAGAGCCGCTATAATTTCTTTTAAGCCTTAGCGACATCTTTTCCTATCTATGGAGGTCGAGTTTGCTTCTGTTCTGGATTTGTCCGTCTTATCTCTGGGGTGTCAAAATGCCGTTCAGGGTAGACATGTTATTTGTTTTGTATCTGCCACCTTACTTTAGTAAATGTAAAATCTTATCAAGTGGCAGGTGCATAGATTAAAATGAACTTCGTGGGCCATTGTGATCCTAAAATATTAGTGGAATTCCAGTGTATTGATTTTGTGTTTGATTTTTTTGTTTAGGAAAAAGAAGAACACTTTGAATCTGTTCAACTGAAGTCCTCACAACCCCCCAATATATGAAGAGGCTGTGCTGTAGGCCTCGCAAGGAGGGGAGACCTGCTCCCCAGCTGTGCAGGACCGTGGTTGGAACCTGTCCTCCAATGGCCAGGCATCCCCCGGGGCCGCGCTGCCGAGAGGGAAGAAGGTTGCTGATTGCCTCACCACACACTCCAGGACCTTGCCAGACCAAGGAATGTGAATGAAATGGAGCTCGGCTGCAGAAAAGCTTAACTCAGGAAGAGATTACTGCATGGCGTGACTGACACCCGCCGTACTCAGCGCTGGGGTGTGGCGTGTGGCGTGTGGCGTGTGGCGTGGGGCAGCGGGCGACCATCCTCTGTCTCTGTCCATGCAGCAAGTGTGCTCTGGAGCGTGGAGGCAAGCACGTGCCTGTGATCTCGTTTATGTCTTGTCTTTGTTTATATTTTGGAAAAGATTGGAAAAGTTTTCTAAGGTATAATTATTTTTCCCATTATTTATTTTCCCAACAGACCTTAAATCATCTTTTCTATTAAAAATGGCAAGCAATGAAAGACAATAAACTTTTCATTTTTATAGGGCGTTTTCTCTTGATTTCAGAAACTTAAATTATCAGTAGTAGTTTAGGGGAAATTAGCATGTACTTGGGTTATTTCCTTCTAATTGCCTTTGAAATTCCATCCTTGTTGGAACTGGTAAGAAGAGTTTGACCAAAAGCTTGAAGGAATGTTTATCAAAATGTAAAAGGCAATGAGAATGCTTGACTTGCATTAATACCCAGAAGGTGGTAGGCTTCACACCTAGGTATCTAGAGCTAAAGAAGGAGAGCCTGCTCGTCAGTCACTTACACAGTCATGAAGAGTGATGTGAGTGCCTGTCCCTAAGCACCGACACTCAGCAAGGTATTGGGGTGAGTGGTAGTCTCCAGAGGACGGATGTGGGACAGTTCCCCAGGTCAGGCACCAGAGGTTATATTGTTATTTTTCTGCTGCAAGACTTTGAGGATTATGATGGTCTGGGGAGCATCTTTTTACATCCATAAGGCAGGAATTCAATTTTGGAAAATACATAATTGTGTTCATGATGAGAATGCAGATGTACCATAAGCACCTGTGAATGAAGTGTCATTTTTATTCAAAAGTGACTCAGAAAATTGTGATATTTTTTATAACGGGTTACTAGTATTCATATGAAATATTTGTTGGAAAGAAGTTCCAATGTTCAAAAAAGTTTGAAGATGGATTTGACCAATTTTGTATAAACTTTGTTTAGAAGTGGGAAAGGGGATTTTCCTAGCATTACTGACCTAAGGTGCCCCAGTTGTTTCCAATAAACAGTGATCTTTGTGGGTCTTCATCCAGATTTTGCAATGGCTGTGACTGGCTGGAGTGGCAGGGCATATGGGTGGCTCCTGACAAGTGTGTCATAGGCGTTCCCACGAAGGGTGCCTTGTAACGTGGGACTCTGCAGTAGTGTCTTCATTGCTGTGAACATTGGGAGGAAAACAGCTCTGTTTCTTGAAAATTGGGTGAGATGCTAGACTGTTTTGCTACTGTGGAATAGATGATCATTTGTGTAGTCTTCACTGTTGTTTATGGGTATAGGTGAAGTCACCATAATTTTATTCTTAATCGTGGGACTGGAGGGTGTCATTAAGCAACAAAACTTCTTGAACCATTTATAAAGCAGAAACTATTTTGGCACTGTTCATTTTTGTCCTGTGACCAGAGTATTGGCATGTCTTTCCCCATGTTGATGGAAATTTACCCAGAAGAATGGAATGTAATTGAAGTGTGCCCATTTTCAGGCATGAAGGTGTACAGGCTGGGCAGAGCCGGAAGTTCCTGCTGTCACCTGTCACCTCCCCTCCATCATCTGCTGTGTGTACATGTTTGTTCCAAGCCATCAAGATAATTGGAATTTGCTCCAGCTTGCTGATTTCTTGTCTTGTCACTGGACTAAAATCTCTGACATGTCAAAAATGCCTTAAATTTTAATGAACTCTGAAAATGCAGTTGATATTGAAGGATTTTTTTCTCTTATTTCTAATTTTAGATATTAAGTAGATGTTGTCAGCTCAGTCCCATTTCAGGAAGGAGCTGCCTTGTTCCTTTGTATTTCACTGGGTTGTCATTTCATTCTAAGAGCTGAAGAATGAGGACAGAAAGAATATTATGGGGAAAATTTCCAGAACAGTTCTGGCTGTGGAATTCACTTTAGTTTTGTGTCTGGGTTTTGCAAAGCTAAGTGAAATTTTGAAAGGCGTCAACAAATCTAATAAGCATTTGTTCTTCCCCCCTCCCTGGAAAAAGTGTTATGTGTTATTTTTCTAAAAGGCACATTTTCAAAGCCTTAAACATTTCATTAAATTGATTGTCACCTATAACATCCCTCAGCACTCTGTCAAAACCTATTTAAATCAATTTTCTACTGGATGAGAGCAGATCTTGTGTGGTTAAATTCTATCATGTCATTAACAATGTTGAGTGGTTTGTTACATGTTTGCTTGATTTACAAGGCTTCATTTTTTAAATTATTGACTTCCCTATTCTTTGGTTATTAATAATCACATCCTTCCTAGGATTAAAATATTTCATAGTGTTTTTGTTTAGACTTTTGTCATTATTTTCTTCCCAAAGATAAAAGGGACTTAAGTTGGTTGTGTAGAACTGCTCAGGTTGGGTCACCTGCGGTCATGGCAGGTCATGGTCAGCAGTGCTTCTCAAGACCCATCTGGCCGGCTGTCCCTTGTTGCCTCTCAGTGGAGCTGTTGTCTATTGCTCAGACTCATTCCCAGTGGGAGGTATTATGTGTTTTCTCTCCTCTCTGAGAGAAAAGAGTGTCCTGGGGGTTAGGGTGAGATGACAACTCCACTGCTAATTGGAAACCCATGCACCACTCACATTTATCTTTTCACATGAATGATAGGTAGAAGAGATCCCCAGAAGACCTAGAATTCCCCCACCTTCACCTTATAGCAATTGCAAATACAAAATCCAGTCTAAAGGCTTTCCCATGAAGAGGTTCTTCTAAGAGAAGAAAAGTTAAAAAAAAAAAATTACTTCCCCCATTCCTTGGAAACCAAAGTGAAGTTTATCTTCACAGTGACTGGTAGAGATGGAGTCCAGCACACTGTTGTGTAAAGGTCAAATTGTAAAGGGATTTCCATAGCTCCACAGGACCTGTGGTCTCTGCTGCATCTACTCAGCTCTGCCACTGTGGCAGGAGCGCAGCCGGGGACAAGGAGCAAGTGGGTGGCTTCATCCTAATAGAACGCCCATGCTCACTGAAATTGTGGCATCATTCAAGTACCACACTTTTAAACATTCTTCTTGTCATGTTTTTCCAATTTAAAAATACAGATGCCTTCTTAGCTCAGCAGCTTTAAACAGGTGTTAGGCTAGGGTTTTGCCTGTGGGCCTGGGTTGCTGGCCCTGGTGTGGAGCACCACACCTTAGCAAAACTGGTCAGAAGAGTCTGATTGCATGGGTGCTTTTCCCTTCAAGTTCTCCACCTTGGCAGTGAAATGAACACCTAAAATATGCAAGGAAAAAAATGACCTGTCACCTTCCCTCAGCAGTGCATCACCTACCAAACAAGCCAGACACTCTCCTGAGTCCTGCTCACGTGGGATCCCATTATAGATATTAATATTAATATGTATAGTCTATCTTATACATAGATCTATTTCAGACACCCAGTGGAAATAATGGACGATGCGTGAAAGTAGTCCAGCATAGATTCCTAAGACCTGGCACTGGAGTCCCCTGGTTTATTCTCATTTGATAACACAGGGTACACCTCAGTCCTTCCAAGCCCTACTTTAACACTTACAGAACTGCAAAAGACATTTGGGATTCCTTTACTGATTGGTGGTTTGAGAACAGATCTTCAGTGTCCTTGAACTGAATGTCCCATTAAGGCTTTTTATTTGCTGGAATTTTCTTCATCTTATTAATAACTCCTAGAATGAGGGCTCTAAAATAGTTTGTAAATTTTGGTAGATTTGGGTTGGAAGGGGGCATTATTTCCTTTATTTCAGATAACTAGTTTCACATGCCATTGATTGTATTTCAGATAAGAGTTGAACCAATGGGAACTTTATGCAGATCTGAGTCTGTCACAGAACAGGATGGATAGTTGCCTTGTCTGCGGGTTGGGCTTTGTCTTCAGCTCTCTGGTTATAACCCATCTGGCAGCTCACTCTTGTTGGCTTCTGCATGCTCACAGCCCTTTCTGAGAACCTCTGCTGCCCAAAAGTGGCACAGTGAACAGATGAATGAGGCAGGGACTCGCAAGAAGCAACGTGGACATGAAGGCTAAAGCCAAATTATCCGCAGTCAGCTGTTCTTGAACTCTGTCCTCTGTATGTTCCGCAAGCCAACTTTACTACAGTTTAAAAATAGCAACTACTTACTTTATCATACAAACTTGGGTGAGCAGGAAAAACATATTACTAGTTAAACCAGTGAGGACAGAGAACACCCCAAGATGCATAAGCACTCCAAAAACCAAGAATAATTGAGCATATAGTTAGATTCTGATGTGTGTGTTTTAATGAATGGATTGTATCATTCAGCTTGGGTTCCTTAAATCCAGGAAATTTTGCAAAGATGGATCAGCTCAACCAGTCTTATATTCTGAAAGAATGAAATGTTACTGAATTTTTATTTTAAAAAGCAAAAACTTGTTTTTAATGGCTTATGTAAAAAAGATTTTATAGTGGCTACTTTCCATATGTAAGTTTAATTATCATATTGTTTTTCTTGTGTGAATCCCAAAGGGTAAATAAAGAGCAACATGGAGGATAGATACTGGGAAGTCAGAACTTGTTCAAATGGGGAGGGGAATGGGGGATGGGATAAAAAGTTAGAAGAAAAATATGCTGAAAGTTTAAAAAAATTATTTTTGGGATCACAAGCTAGATGATGCATTTCCAAATCAGAAACAAGGCATGTGTCAAGGGAGGGGAAGAAGGTGGTGCTGTGGGTGGTGCCCTCTCAGTGTCCTGGAGCGAGAAGCCCTCACACACCGGGTCCTCTGCACTACTGCGAGTCCTGTTGTCTGTTCTGGAGCTCTGTGATCACTTTGGCCTGTGAGGCATTGCTCATTCTGAGCACTTACCTGGCCCAGCTGCCAGGTTCAGTGCAGCAGAAGTCATTTTTGTCCTTAAGTGATTGTGAATCTCTTACCCAGTCAGCCCCATGCACTCCCCAACTGGAGGTTCCTATTTGCAAAGGAGAATTCAGGAACTGGTGAGCACCATTCTTTGAGCATTCGGTGGGCTTTCCGTTGGCTGTCATTGCTGATTCAGCTGCATCCACAGAAGAGAGCAGAATTTCTAACAGGTGATATCTTTGTTTGCTGTCAAGCCCTGTCCTGTGGGCTTTTGTGTGCCCGTTCATTGTTTTGTAGATGTTTTAAAAATGTTGTATTTCTCTCGTTTCAAACTCTGTTCAGTCTGTGCTTCCCTCAGATCCCTGATTTTGTTTTTTTCCTCTATCTATCTTGGTCACAGTCACCTCCTTAAAATATTTTCTGACCATTACCTCTTTTTTTTGTACCGGGAATTGAACTCAGGACCCTGCATTTGTGAGGCAGGCGGCAGAACCACTGAATTAAATACACAGACCTGACCTTTACCTTCTGAAATGCAAGGATTATATCTAATTATTCTTTCTGTTGTGGACTGAATAGTGACTTCAGAATAATATGTCCACATCCCATCCCGTCCCTGAGTCCTGACACTGGTGCTTTATTTGGGAGAAAGGTCTTTGCATAAATTAAGCTTGGTGAAGTGGGCTCGCCCTGGATCATCCCGATGGACACTAACTCCCCCTGATGAGTGTTCTTCTGGGAGACACGGGGAATGTGACTGAGATGACACAGGGGCTGGTGTGGCCACAGCCATGGACGCCTCCACCCCAGATTGGGAAGGGTTGAGCACACTCTTGGGGGCTTATGAGGGAGTATGGCCCTACATGTACCTGCATTTCAGATTTCTGGCCTCCGTGACTGAGAGAGAATCCATTTTTGTTGTTTTAAACCACACAGTTTATGGCAACAGGAAACGAACGCACTCTGTCCATGGTACCTGATGCAGGACCTGGCAGATGGATGTGTTCTCAGTAAATTTTCCTAATCAATAAATGATTTGTTACTTCGTGGTTGACGGAAACAGGACAGTATATTGGTAAAAAATCCAGTTTTAGCTTGCCGATCTTTTCCTTGTTTACTCTTTTATTTAGGTGAGTAAAATATTTCAGCTTAGTGACAAGTTTGTGTGCCTGAGTGTTGTCACTCAGCTCTGGACGGGAGCAGTTCCCATAGAGTCATAAGGTGCTTTTCAAGCTGTTGGGGGAATGAGCGTCACCAAACCTTTCCTAGAAGACCAGTGTAGGTTCTACCCTCTTTACCTCAGGGCGCTTCAGCAATTCTGCGGTGTCAAACAGATGTGGCTTCGGACTCCAAGCTGTGTGTTGTTGCATGGTATCTGTGCTGGTCAGTGACCTGTGATGGGGTCCAGATCTGCCGCCAGCTCCCTGGCACGGGAACAGTGTGAGTTCTAAGCATGTGTGGATGGGAAGAGGGTCATGGTTTCCTTCCAAAACCAAAAGTAGGAATGACTTGAAGTCCATGTGTTAAGTTACCTCGAGAGAGACTCAGAAAGGACAAACCATTTTCCACCATGCTGGAAAACCTCCAAGCTTTTATTTCCAATGCCTTTACATTAATACAGATGCTTTTTATTTTGTGCTCAGAAAAACAATCTGTTACACATAATGTAACTTTAATATACAACATAGAAACTCATCCTAAATTAGTTACAACAAAGACCTACAAAAACTTGATAGGAAAAAAAGTTACCTAATATTGCCACCGTAGTTTTTAGTAGACTGACCCTGTCAGACCCTGTCACCAGTGCTCAGCTCTGTAAACAATGGTTATTTCTGTGTTCTGGGGAACGGTTAATAAGAGGGGCACTAAAATCAGCCTAGAAAATCCTAACACACCACTATGTACTTTACAGTCCTCAAAAATAATTTATGTACTGCTTCTAAAAAACGGTCCTAGGGTCCTTTGTCTGTCTCATGTTCTGGAGCTGCACGTGAGCACGCATCTAACAGTCTGGCAGTCACAGAGAGGAGGTGGTAGAGTCCAGGACCTCGCGGCCGTTGCACACCGTGGGGACATACGTGCTTGCGGAGGCTGTAAGACAGAGGGGCGGGAGCTCGGTTAGGGGCTGTGCAGGAAGGACACAGCACGCAGTGAAAAGTAAGGTAAAACCCACTTTAACTTGGCTTTGAAAAGCGATTGTTCAAGGGCAGCTTTCTAGGTAGCTTCTGCTCAGCATTAGTGTGTGTTAGGACACACGTCTGAATCTGCCTGTCATTGTGCAGAGGATTTACAGCGCAATCACTGCCACGAGGATCTTGGGGGTTGAAGTTAGCTTTGATGACCCATAAACTGGTCAACATGCGATGTGCAAAACTGAAGGTCCAGGGCAATTTTTAAAATAATTTGTTACATGATTTAGTAGTTTCAGTGTCTGTGAGTGGAGTCCTGTGAGCTCCGCTCCTCGGAACTGGCTGGAGACACTGTCACTGCCGCACACGTCACTGGGGGAGGGGCGGGGGGAGGGCTGCGTGCTGAGGGCTTCGGCTTCATCCGAGCTTTCCGGAGGAGGGCACCCTCAGGGCTGATGTTCCTGTGTGTGGCGACAGTGACAGCAGTGTCATGGATGTTATAATACGTGCATGCTTGTTCACCGTTTTGTGAGACTCAGTTTTACCAGATACAATTTGTAGCTATTATACTGTTGGTAAAATTCCATTTTTATGAGAAATTTAGCTGCACATATGTTTTATTGACTTCACCTTTAATATTTTTTCTTTTCACTGAAGACAAAAGTGTGGACCTTACTCACCACGGGACGAAGGCAACAGTCAGAAGAGGCTGGAGAGAGATGGCCTCCCTCCCAGGTCTGTCGGCATGGCTGTCCCTGGCCTGTCTGTCTGGACACACTCTGAGCAGAGAAGCTGATCCTCAGGGCCACCAGACCACAACCAATCAGACCGCAACCATCTCACACTGGTCAAACCCGGTCTCAAAACTAATTCGATGCCAAAGTGTGCAGGTCTGGTTGTGGATGTACTCCTGCCCCACAAAGTTGCATGTTGCATAGGAATGTTTTAAACACAAAGTAGTAACTAATTGTGAAGTCTGAGATGCTGTGGCTTCCGTGGGGAGCATGTACCGCCTTCAGGGCTGCTGAGTCTTCCCACAGGTCACCACTAGGGAAACTAAAGCCCCTCCATTTCATAGCCTATCTGAATGAGTGTGTGAGAAAACCTCACAGTCCAGTCCAGGTGGCTGCGCCTGGATCAGCACACACTGACTCTCTAGGAGTCTCCCTCACTACCATTTCAGGGCCAAGTTCAGTTTTCTTTACACCGAGTCTGTTAACAGCACGGGAAGCATGAACAGCAAGTTTTGAAACTTCTACAATGAAGACATTTTTAACAAATACTTGTTGGAAAGTGGCTGTAATAATCATCCCACATGTGAGGACTTTATTTTATTTTTTGCAAAGTTTATGCTTGCTTCAATTCCAGTATCATCACCAAAGCCAGGTAAGGTAAGACAAAGAACAAGGCAAAGTGAAGTTCAAAATGCAGGTTGCTGGCAGCTGAGGACAGAAGGCTGGGCCAGTTTGAGGTGTGCCTGTCTGCAGCCCGTGTGCAGGAGTTCAGTAGGAGTTCAGAGTCCCTGTACAGAGTGGATCTCTTGATTCTGCAGCTGCACCCAGTCAGCCTTCCTTTCCTCAGTGAATGACCTTACCATCTCTCCTTAACCCAAAGACTACAGCTTATGCTTCATCTTTTTGTCCTTTCCCGATGTCAAATCTATCATGACGTCCAGTCTGTCTTTACATCTGAGTGCTTTTATCTGTGCATTGTGACTCTGGTCCCAGCTGGCGGTGTCTTTGTCACAAGTACTGCAAGGGCTGTTTCACCAGCACTTCTGTTTCTATTCCCGCCTACGGGATGTTTATTTTCTGCATGGCCACTAGACTTACAGTCATTCATGGATTCAACCAGCCATGGGCTGAAAGCATTCAGAAAAATCCGTTTGTACAGAAAATGGAGAGATTTTTTTCCCTTTTGTTCACTAAGCAATGCAGTGTAACAACTGTTTACTCAGCATTTGCATTGTGTTGGCATTGTTAACTCATGGAGAGTTGATTTAAACTATGCTGGAGGATGTGCCTGGAGTATGTGCAAAACAATACTTCTGTGCTAGGTTACATCAGGCACTCCTGCCCCATGGATCTAGATCCCAGGGGGTGGGGGTGGGGCAGCCTGAGACCCATGCCCACAGACATGCAGCGGTGGCTGCATTTTGAACATGGTCACCAGCTGCAACCTCCAGCGGCTTCCTTCTGTGCACTGCTCCCTACCCGGCTTTTGGGTTCCAGTGCCTCTGGCCACAGCCCAGCTCTCTGCTCATTTCACACTGCGAGCTTTCTGGCTCCTTGGATGCTGTTCTCCAACACAGCATGCATCTCTCGCTGTGCCTTTCCAGTGGGGTTAGCTCTGCAGCAATGTCCTCTCATATGCCTGGCTCCTCCATGCACATCTGAAATTCCTCTTCCCCAGAAAGGTGTTGGGTTGCTCATTAACTCTCTCTGAAGTCCAGCAGGGCCCAAGTGCTGCTGCCTGATGTTTTGCTCATTTTTGTCCACCTGTACACTCTTGACTGGCAAGTGTGCAGGGGCTTTGCTGTCTGTTTCCTTATGCATCTCTAGTGCTGGCATGGACTAGACCCTGTTAAAGATTTCCTGAGTGATCATCCAAATATTTGCAGTTTGAGAAACAAGGGACTCTTTGGATGGTGTAAGAAGGAAACTGCCCGGGCCTGGGCGAAGCTCGCTTGGGGCCAGGTGAGCCTTCCTGTTCACGAGCCACACGGAGGTGGTGACCGACTGCTCCTCATGGAGAGTCCTGGCCAGGCTGAGTGCACAGGGCAGGCTGCTGCCTCGGACTCCGCCAATTCCTGTGTCTCCTCCCAGAGCGTTAGTACTTCCGGCAGGGCTCTCACTTCCAGAGACTGGAGAGCAGTGCTGTTATGAGGCTGGTCACAGAGCAGGCGCCTGGGGTGCAAATGCGCCTGGGCCATCCAGCCCCCGCTGGGGGAGCCCCAGTCTCTGAAGCATGCGCCTCCTAATTTAAAAACTGGGTGTATTTTGACACGGTGGGAATGACAGGGGCTACGAGGGCCAGCTTGTGGCTTTAACTCTTTCTAATATGCACCCCACAGACATTACTCTGAGGCTTCTGCAGGAGCTCCATGTCCTTATCTGCTCTCAAGGGGGCTACGGGGAAGCCCAGTGCCAGGCCTGAACTTTGGGTGAGGAACATGATATAAATTCAAGGTTTTCCGAGAAGGAGTAGGGCAGCAGAAAGCATGCTCTTCTCCCCCTCAGCCCTTTTTACTGTGCTGAAAGGAACACTGATTTGTATATTTCTGCTTCTGTGTTATCATTTCATCTGCAGCTTTTGCTGGTGCACTTTATTATATAAAATATTCTCATTTATGCACATGCTGCTGAATATAGTAGAGGAAATTATTGTTTTACGAGTTTACTATCCCGATTACTTTGTCTTTCATAAATATTTTACATGTGTCTTCCATATTAGCGCATCTGCTATTGTGCTATTCGCCAAGGTAGTGCAGTTCATGGAAGAGAGAGGACAGAGGACTGTCATTTCTGTGTGTGTGTGTGAGATAAGGTTTTGCCATTATTCTGATGAAGTTCTCATGAGATCGTTAGTGGTGTAAGCGCAGCCCATTTTCTTTAGTGCGGTTAAGCAGATTTCCTGGAGGTGTGCAGGCCTGTTTTGGCCTTTGCCATGCAAAGTGAAACCTGAAGACAGCCAAAGAAGACCCCTCATTTCACTACTGATCACAAAGGGCGATTCACACCTGCAGATGGGCACATTTTACTTCAATCCAGCCAAGTGCCAGCTTTGTCTGGCTGTGTGAAATCTGCCTCTTTTAGTGGTAATACCAAGCAGCCAGGCTTTGTAGAAAATGGCCACCTTCCCAGGCTACTGGCCCTCGGTCAGTGTGAACTACTTCATAGAGCACTGTGAGTGCCACCTGTGTTGGTCAGGTTAGTGACAGACCATGTGATACGGACCAAGGTCTTATGATACTTCTGTAATAGCCACACTCAGGAGGAATAAACAAGTGCTTAACAGAAGAGAGTTCCAGTTCACTCTCATCCATTCCATTTCCCTACTCCTGGTGACCTCAAATAATCATTGCGGGACATCTGGGGTCTGAGGTATCCTGAAGTGGTGGCCATGAATTTCGTATCCACTTGCCTTCCGGCCTTGCCCTCCTGCTGGGTCTCTGGGTCTGTTTCTTGCTCATCACATGGACATGGCTGTCCCATTCCTGAAGTTCCTCTGGAACTCACATGAGTCTTCTGGGGAGATGGTGACAGGGTGGCCCCTGGCGTGGTCATCTTGCTGGCAGATAATTCTTTATGGAGAGGTACAGATGTCTTCTGTATGATCCAGGTAACCATGCTGAACTATAGACTTGAGCAGTAGATTAATGTGAAATTTGATTAGTTATGCTGGGAAATAAAAAACTACAAGCCCAAGACTTAGTTTCCAAGAGTGGATTTGGAGTTGCATGGAAGCGGCTGTAGGAAAGCACTGCTTCGTTCAGTGATGCGTTTCCTGTGAGGCAAGGTTCATGGAGGAAGACATGATTGTCCCAGGACCACAGTGCCACTTAGTGCATCTGCAGAATGACACCTGGTTTCCGACTAAGTGCCCTGCAACAGGAGGCGAGGGGGGCAGCATGGCTGAGCAGAGGGACGAGGCCCGCTGTGGAGGAGACTTACTGACAGCCAGCCCAGAACGGCAGCACTGAGGCCGACCCTGGATTGACAGGAGCCTGCAGCTGAGAACAGCCCGGAGCTCCGGCAGGAGACCAAGAGGAAGCGCCAGCATCAGCAGTCAGTGAAGACACCAAGGAAGCAGCACGTGATTCTGGGCCACTCCCTCCCGATCTCGAAGTGCTCTGTTCTTTGTGCAGGATGCAGCTTCTCTTTTTCCTTCAAAGCACCCTGGTTCTTTTGTATATCTTCTTTTTCTTATTTTTGCCCTAAAATAAGTTGTAACTTTCACATC